CAGCCCCTGTCCAGGGCCTCTTGGTTGCCAGGGGGGGCAGCCCCGGTCCAGGGCCTCTTGGTTGCCAGGGGGGGCAGCTCCCGGCTTTGGTTTCTTAGTTGCCAGGTGGCGGTACATTTCTGTAATTCGTACCCCGGCTCTAAAGTCGATGAGACGCCTTCAAATGGCGAGATATGCAAAATGACTGCTTTGACGCACGAATAGTGGTATCAGAATTTTGCATTATGTGTACGGATCGATTTGAAGGCGCTCTGCTGTATCCATTGTGAGTGGCCATGTAGAATGATGTTGACTAATAAGTTCATAATTTTGTGTTTTCAATCGAGCCGCATAATCGACAAATGCGGAGGAATATTATTTTGAAAAGTTGATAAGATTGTGTTTGATCTCTCCACCCTATTTCGAAGATGAGAGCGCAGGCGGCTGAAGCAGATTTCGTATTTTAAGTCCTTTGGTTCGGTCATCGTATTCTGAAGTGAAACTGAAAGAGTCGCCGTTTACAAGATCGCAACTTTCTCAAAAGCGGTTGTGAAAAGTTTTGCACGGATAAAATGAGCTTTCTTTGATTAACTATTAATAATCGAAATTGAAGAAAAGGTAATTGGTCTACTAGTCCATTAGGAAAGCGTGAAGCATGAAAGGATGGAGCATCGATGACCAACGAAATCTTATCTGATAAGGAATTTTAAGGGTGAGACCCTTTTTTCAGTCGTGAAATGATCCAAATCCACTATCAAGTTTAAAACACTAATTGAAAAAATGCGTATCTCCCGATGAAGTGTCGCTTCTTGGTGCCGAGAACGTGAATCTCGGCATTTTTGCCGTATTTTCTAAGAGTTCGAGAAATTTTATTGAAACTGCTGATGGAGTTTGGAAAAACATCTTATTCTCGCTATCCTCAATAATTATTACCCTTCTACCGACAATAAAGAGGAATGCAGTCAGTTTTTTTCCCCCTCCTGGAAAATCGTGTTTCCGAGATTCGCATTTCTGCACTTTCACCATCGATATAGTGTTTTAGTATTGTTCAATTAACATTTGCTCAGGCAGTGATTGTGATTGTTCAGTCACTATTTTTTTTTCTCATTAATTTCATCGCAAACATTCTCAGGTATACCTATATGTTGCAGGCAATTAGCAATCGCCGGCAAATTGCAATCTATTCGTGTTTAATTAACAAATTAAATCGTTTCAAAGTGAAAAAACGAGATTGGAAGTAGGGATTATTATGCTTTAAATTCAAACATACGTTAGCCCCTTCTTCTTGGATACATGGTGCCAGCTAGCACACGCGCGAGTTCGTGAAATGTCATCAATAATCTGTGTTAGGTTCGGTTAAGCAACTAAACTAACTCCTTGGCAAAACGGAGAGTATCGCTAGATTTGAAGGCGTAAAGAAATCTTCACTATATCGATGTTATCGTAATTACAATTTGACGAGTTGATAAGTACGGAGCTTGCAAATTGCCGGCGATTGCTGACTCCCTGCGACTTATACACTGACAGGGTCGGACTGACCATAAGGCCAATCTGCCATTGGCAGATGCGCCCCCCTCAGCGCGCCGAAGGCACGCCCCTCTTCCGGCTGCTAGAATGATAATGAAGAAAATGAAGAAAAGAAAGAAAAGAAAAAAAGGGGAAAAAGGGAAAAAAGAAAAGAATAATAAATAAAAAGTAAGGAGAAAAGAAAATAAGTAAAGAAACAAATGCCTCAAAATTATAAGTAAACGAGAGAAGCTTTAATAGGAGTAATAGAGGAAAGGGTATTCTGTATTCTGTCCCCTTATCTCATTATTCTTTTCTTTAGCTATGTAGTATGTATATTCATCAGGGCCGGATTTACCTGCTTGCCGCCCATGGGCCGCCTGTATTTTGCCGCCCCCTTCTCATTCGTTTTGAAACATCAATAAAACCATGAAGTGAACGTGCCGGAGGTTGCGGGGTGCATAAAACACGTTTACTTGTGTTAGACACATTTTTTGCGAAAGCCCTGTCAGCACTACCAGCGAAATTTTCACGGAACTTTGCGCGAAAAAGTCCCGTAAACCTTTGTCTTTGTGGACAAGGCCTTCCATTTATAAGCATTGAACGAAAAAATTAAGAAAGAACAAACATAAATGTGGTTTAATAATTTTAACTTCCGCTGCCGCTCCGCGCTGACCGCACTGTATTTGGCGCAATGCGGGAAGTATTCATGCAATCGTGTAGGCGCTAATATGTGTCACATGCCGACCGCCGCGCCGCGCCGAGGGCTTCTCCTTTTCATCTCAAGTCCTCGTCATCATTCCTCTCTGCTCTGAGCACCAGGCCAAATTGCGTGTTTAGTCCCTCTTTTAATTCGACTACCTAATTAAAGATGATGTCTCTTGTATCATCGAAAAACAACAAAATTAGAAATTACTATACTCTTAGGGAAGGGAGATTTTGTCCCCTTTTCTCATAGATAATTTTTTTCCTGAATCCCATTTTTTTTATACCGACATTTAAAAAAATTGCAAAATTTGCCGCCATGGGCCGCGGCATATGTGGCCACCCCCTTAATCTGGCCCTGATATTCATTGTTCCCACCTTGTTTAAACATTTGAAAATTTAAATTTAAAATGTATTGTATCAGTTATTTATACAATATACAGGGTCTGAAGTATTTCTTGTTTTCTTGTCACCCTCATTTTCCACCTTCCAGTTTTCAAAGCCATGATTTTGGATCTCTTGAGCTCTGGCTTGTTTCTTCCAGAGATAATGGTGCTTGGATGCCTCGAATAGCTTTTCTTTGATTGATCCATTTTACATTATTCATCTCACAATTCTTCCGATACTTTTATTATTATATTCAATTCCAGAATTTTCTTTTGTAAGATTAATCGATTTTGAACCTGAAAATATCGTCAAAATTCTATTCAGAAGAGTCTAATTTTTAAAAAATGTCGGCCTTTCCGAGAGAGAGAGAGAGAGAGAGAGAGGGGGAGAGAGGGAGGGAGAGAGGGAGGGAGAGAGGGAGAGAGAGAGAGAGANGGGGGGGGGGTGTTCCCGCATACTCCTGAGCAAAATATCCCATTGCGCCCCCTTCGCCGGCTAAGGGTCTGCGCCCTCAGAGGTGCGTCAGTCCGACCCTGTACACTGATAAAGATTTCAGAGATATTTATTTTCATCTTTAAGTTTACATGTGCTTTTCTCTCTTTTAATCAGCATGTGTGTTTCTATTTTGTTTTTGGTGCATCCCTCGAAATTCTTGGATTCAAAAATCGATGATCCTCCTGGACAACGCAAATCGTCAATAAAAAAAAAATGGGATTGTTCAATTAAACGGGACACTTGATTCACTTAATTGAATCTTTGAATTAACTGGAAACTCAAATTTACCACAGATCCAACTCAACCGAAAACCTGACCCTGCTAACCAAAACTTTACTCAACCGGTGATCTTACCCACCGGAAACTCAAATCAATCAACCAATCGTCCGGCCGAATTTTACTTAACCGGAAATCGACAACCGTAAACTCTGCTCGACCGGAAAACGTGCTCCAATCGAAAACTTGACCCTGAAAAATCGAACTGGAAATTCGATCCAACCTGAAATCCGACCCATCCCAAAATTCCAATTCACTAGAACCGTAATCCATCCATATATGACGTGACCGGAAATTAACCCAACTGGAAACTGTTTCCAACCGGTAACGTGTCCTTGTCGAAAATTTGACTCGACTGAAAATTTGATTCGATCGGAAATCTGACCGACCGGAAACCACAATCAACGGGATTCGTTATCCACCCGAAATTTCACTTGACCGGTAATCGAAAATCTTAATTTCTACTCGACCGGAAATGTGCCCCAATCGAAAACTTGACTCAACTGGAAATCTGTTCCAACCCAAAATTTGGTCGTTCTCGGATGGAGAATAACAAATTTCAATACCAATATATCATTGATTATCCTAAAAAATCGCAAAAATTCGATCTAAGCGATTGATATATCGACTCGTTATGATATATCGATTCTACATGAAAAAATACGTAGGTGTCGGTGTACTCCAGTCATATTAGGTGCATTTAGTCATCCATGAATCAAAAATGAACAATTTCAATCTAAAAAAATTGTCGATTTTCCGTAAAGGATCTTAAAAAATCGATATAACCGATCGATATATCGACTCCTCAACATTAAAACTCAATTTTGCGTGTAAAAATACGTAGGAACCGGTGTGTATAACATGTGCAAACAACGATAGCAACCCCGTGGACACATCAATTCAACAAGAAAAGACCGAAAAATAAGGCCGAAGTTTGACCCCTTTGCCCCCCCGTAACTCAAAAACGGTTCCTATACTCATCTTGAAATTTTTTCCTGAGTTTTCTGTTATTATAAGCTTCCTTTTAAACCTTGGTTCGATGGTCGAATCGAATACCGAAAAAGGGGCGAAATTTTGGAAGGCTCTTTATGAAAATATGTGTACACTATTTTATGACCCTTTAAATCTAATCAACCATGTGCGTGGTGAAAAGAAATTAACATAAAGTACGGTGTAAAGCTGAATTGAAAGACAAAATTTTGAGGGTCATGGAAAATGAGCTTGCGTTGTTTGTTTCCTCGTGGAACCCGGCAGAAATGATGATTTTCTAATGCCTTTGTATTTATGAATTGATTTTGCAGGAACGGAACGAGGAACTCGCTGCAGGAGACCATTCTCACCTCAGTAACAAAAGGCTTAAACAGTGAACTGCATTTACGTGATGTAAGTACAACAGGGCTCATGCTCTTTATAACGGGTTTCAATTCCCCTTAATTTCTCATGATTTTTCCCAGAATGGGCAGACTCAATCGGCTACTGGTTCTGAAGGGGTTTTCTAAGTTAGGAACATTATCGATCGTGTTCACCATGAAATCCTTGGAATTCAAAAGAGCCGTGTTGCATTGTGGCAGCGCTGCCAAATGATGCATATTGCATATTGGTGCATATTGCATATTGGTGCATATTGCATATTGGTGCATATTGCATATTGGTGCATTTTGCAGCGCTTTCGAGATTCAACACGGCTCATTTGCACTCAGAAATTTCATAATAAACACGTTTATGAATGCAACGTAGAAAACCCTTGAGAAACACTGCCGCGCCGCGCCACCGTACATGGTGCATTTGAAAGTCAGAGCGCCAGCAATTTTCCGTAAGTATATGCAATGCGGACATCCTGAGAACACGAATAGTTGCATCCACACCTATAGCCATTGAAAAAGCGGGAGCGCCTTCAATTTTTTCAATGTGTCACTCATTGAATTTGTACCTCGGAGGAACGCCGTATATACATTCGCAAGTTGCCAAATTTTCTTCGATAAAATGTTTATTTTTGGGAAAAATTATGAATATGCTTCATTGAAATTTTCAAACATTTTAGATCTAATTACAAACAAAATTATCGGAGAAATTGGTAGACAAACATCCAAAACGTTTCCTGAAAATGAGTGATTTGCCAGGGGACATTTGGCAACGCCTGAAGACTCATACGGCGTTTTTCCTTAGCGCGGCATGCGTGTGTGGCGGTGTAGCGTAATAGTGCAATTAGCGGGACCCGTAATCAGCAAAAACGAGCGAATAATCACAACCCATTGGGATCATCGCTGTTTGCAGTGTGACAAAGAGCACAAAGCCCCCTTCAAAACGGAGACAGTGTTTTCTTGAATTTAGAGCACAAAGCCTCCTTCAAAACGGAGGTAGGCAAAAGCGGTTACCGGATTGTCGCATAATAGTTACGCGGAGCCTTCGAACATGCACGAATTAAATAGTGCAAGAGGGCAAACGTTAAGTCATTTATTAAAATTGCGCTACCCATACATGCAAAGCCGCTTTTGAAGCGCTCTTTGATGGCGCTCTACTACACCCGGCCCCTAGCCGCCAATAAGTCCCCTGTCCTCTCAAAGCCCTTCAGGGAGTTGGGAATAGGTGACTCCTTTCTTCTAAAAACTCTTGTCAACACCCTTTCTCTGGGCGTCCCCTCCCAAAAGGAGCCCAATCAAGCATCTTCCGTGGCAACCTTTCCTCCATCATTCCGTTAACATGACCATACCAGACAAGCTGTTTGGTCATAACGTTGAATACGATGACATTTTCGACTCTCATGATCCGATCTCTCCTAGAAATTCCCTCCAGAAATCCATCTCCGTTGCTCCTAGCATACCAGTGACCTGTACCGATACCTCTTCGTACATCTTCCGACGTTTGATCACTGGAATTGTTCTTGTATTTTTCAGCTGCTGGATTTTCAAGAGACATACGCGGCCAACCTGTCCGACGCAGCTGTGGCTGCAATTCAAGATGGTATCGACGAAGTCAGACGGAGAACAGAATGGCGGGCCACGAATCTGAATACGATAACGAACTGGTTGAACAAGGACAGCAAGCAAACCTAGAACAGAGCTCCGACTCTTTGCCAAGAAGTATTCACTTGATGAGGCGGTGTCTCTCAAGAAAGCCTCTGTAGGTACCGTGCATCAGTCAGGGCTTCGGTTTAATTCGCTGCTCAAACGTAAATTTTTTTAAAAATAGTTCTACCCATGCTCAACAACTCCTTTCGAATAAGCGATTGTCTTGAAGGCAATAATCGGGAGCAGGCGACAATGCGGATTTTCAAACAAAGATGACTCCTGACGTACAATTCGATGGTCAAAATGCAAAACCACATTTATATCCATTGCGGTGTTTCCAAATTTGCCGCTTTTGTTTTACTTTCCCGAAGAGTTACAAGCAAACTTCCACATTAAATTTAATACAGAATTGTTTGCTGACAGGAATGAAAACCTTTGAATTTTTGAGAAATTACGTTGAATGGCTTTCCAAAGGAAAAATTAAGGATGGATACAAGATTTTCGGCGTTTTTCGGAAAAAGTGGGGACATAAATTGTACATCAATACACCTATTTTATGAACGGCCTCCAGTGCTCTCCAGATATCAAGTAAATCAGAGGGTTTGACTCAAAAGTGGAATAAAAATAAAAGAAATCATTAATTGTGGCAAAGAAAATTGGGTATTTTTGATCATACCATGAATCATGATCATTCCTACTCATTTTGTAGTTTTTGATTATTATACCTTTTTTCAGATCCTGAAGAAACTTAGTATTAGAAATATCATACTGTACTGAAAAATTGACGAGTAGAATAGATAAACCTTCTACTGCTTGAAATTATATCAAGGGAAGTGAAATTGAATTTCCTAAACTAGAAAGTTCAAAGCTTAGTTTCTTAAGAATACCTGTGCTACTATTGCTCAACCTCTGCATCAAAGCCCATTTTAAGTTAGAACTGTCGTGATGCGCCAATAGGAGAGTGAGACCAGATCATTAGGTGCCTATGTAAGATGATTGAAAGCTTGACTATTCTTATTGTAGGTAAGTACACTTGTTTCCTTTGAAGATTTTTGAATAATTATACTGTTGTAATGATTGTTACAATGCATTTGATCTTTTTCCTCTTCTTAAACCTTGCTAGGACAGAATGTTAGGAACTTAAAAAAAGTATGATTATAAAGACACACATCTTGATTTATGACAGGTCACATTTTTCCTTACAAGCTATTCTCTTAGAGAAACCAACCCACACTTTTCATGAGGGTATGGGTTTTCTTCATTTATTTGAGAATATCAGGTACTTTTTTGCATTTGCATGCGGAAAGTCTGGTTACTTGAATGGTTGAGTCTCTTATGACAAAAGCAAAATGAAAAAGTTACCTACAAGACTAAATAACATAGAATTATTAATATGTTTAACTTTCTTCATCAGCATTTCATCCAAGGATGTTACACATTTTCAACATGTGTTCTTTTTTCCATCTGTGGAACATAAGACACAAGGTAGATCCAGTTACCTTTATAGTTTAAAGTGGCTCTACCTGAGGTTATGACTGTATGTAAGCGCTCAAAAACCTCCTCAGAAGAGGGATCCAAGCATTTAAATGGAGTACATGAATCGGGCTGGACTGCAACATTGGGTCAGGTTAAAAAAAATTAAGTGGTTCATCCTGATCCTCTGAGGATAAAAAAAAAGTTCTATCGATGTTCTCAGCATTCTAAACAAACATTTCAAGGAGTTTCGGAATTCAAATACACCTGCACAACATGAAAACCTAAAGAGCTTTCATATCTGGTGGAGGGACTATAAGGGCATTCAAACAAAATCAGTAATCAAGTTTTGACTTGAAAAAATATTTATTTTGAGAACAACTTAAAAAATTACGTCAAAGAATACATAAAATGACATTAATATAAAGTCTTTACCAAAAACAAGAGGTCTCTCATTACAAAAATAAGAAAATAGTAAAATTAAATAAACAAAAAACTGAGATATGTAGTTGTGAGAGGAAGTCATAACATATTACAAACAATCAAAATTCAACATGTCACTAAAATTTGATAATTTTCAGTAAAGGAAAACCACTTAAGCTCAAAAAACTTATTAAATTTTCTCTTCTTCAAGCCACATTCACAATTTTCTAGCAGAGCAGAGAAAAAATTAAATACTGAGATCAACAATCAAAATTTATAAATTATGAAAATAGGAACATACTCTAGTTATAAGAAGCTTAAGACTCATGGAGGGTTAAATACAGGGCTGGTACCTGTCCCATTTCCACATTCGTTCGGCGCTCGTCAATGGTAGAGAATGTGACAGACACAACTCTGCCACTTGGCAACTCTGTTTTGACCTTTTTATGCCCTTGACATCCGTACAGAGATGGTGGACCCTAGAAACGAAAAATGAAAAAAAATTACAGATTTCAACAAAACAGACCGTACAGAGGACTTTCACTTTCAAGGGTCTAGATTTAAGCTACCACCATTGCAAGAGTGTTACTAATCCAAAGTACTACTAAACTGCTGTAACTAAATCTGAGTCAGTGGGTGCCATTTTCCCATTTTTTTTGTTGAATTGACGTGGAATGACCCTACTATCAGAGCCAAAGTGACACTGATGACACAGAAAATCAGAAATCTGTGCTGTACTGGTGGTTTCAATTAGACTTGAAATGCGTCTACAATCGCTTATTAGACATAATCAGTGTTGCGCCTGGGAAACTTTGCTTTCTAGGAGATTTTTCCAACTACAGCAAGAGTACTCTGCAAGGTGCAAAATCATGACGTCACCTTGAATCTAATCATGTGATCAACAACTTGTATCTAAAATTGATTTTACACAAACCTTGATTTTTTAGAACTTTTAAGTGGGATTTTCTCTTGGTTGGCATTATCACAAAAGTTAATACTGGGAGAAAACAGCAATCACTTTATACTTTTGTACAACAAAACTGACCCATTATTCTTGAAAGAAATATTCCCAATAAAAAAACCTTCCTAGGAGCATTGAAAAGGGCCTACGAATAAAGCTATATTTTGTTGAGATATGTTCCTTTTTACTATAGACCAAAAAAAAATTTTACCTCGATTTTTACCCGGATTGAGTACTTCTTGAGTGCAGTCAAACTTATTGGTTGCTTGAAAGACACCTTGTATTTTTCATCAGATGACGTCAAATTTAGATATTTTACTTTTCCCAGCAACTCCTTTGTGTTCCGATCAACAACTTCTATTGAGGAGCGATATTCAGCGAAATGTGGGTTTTTTGCCCCATACAGACTTACAGCGTTGAGTTTGACATCGTGATCCACATGAAATCTAAAATTAAAGAAAAATGTGCGTTGATAAAAATAAAATGAATCAGAGAAATAACGCAACATTCAATTACATGCGTTCTTATTGCTAAGATTTTTGAGATGTTAACTCAAATTGATGCAGTATACATGGATCTTTCCAAAACCTTTGTAAGTGTACGGCCAAAGGTATTAATATAGAAGCTGTAATGGCTTAGTCCGTATGACTATTGATTAATACTCTCACTAAACTCATACTAAAACTCAGAAATTCAAGATGGTGAAAGTGGTACAGTGCTTTCTCATGGTCCTGATTCAAAATGTTTACATATAATTTGACTACCTACGGTATTTAACCATAAAAGTTCGAAATTTGAGGTTCAATTTCCAAAATTCAGAAAGCCAAGATGGTGAAATTGGGTCAGTAAACTCGAGAGGGCTTAATCGCATTTCTACTTTGTCTTTTCTTAAAACTTGAAAATGGTCGCCAAGCCCAAGACAATCATTGAAATTGGTAAGAAAAAGGTATGTTTTTGCTTGTAGATAGATTTGATGCATCAAGTATTCAATGCATCATTGAACTGATTCTTTATCTGGCACCTGCAAGCCTGAGCTGACTGCTTTTTGCTGTTCAATCAGGAATAACAAGATTGAGAAGCAAAAGAAAAAAAACACGCTGTGTTGAAAGCTCATGCACTAGTAATGTTCAATGATAGGATGAATCTATTTTGAGAGGTGATAAAACCGGGAAGGGATGTAAAATATTATGGAATTTATTCTTAGGAAATTTCACGAAATTATGTGAAATTATTTGAAACTTTTGAGATGCATTCAGGACGCCAAGAAACGCCTAAAAGCAGTGATAGCTTAATTATGAAATTCTTCACTTCTCTCAACACTCAACTTCATGATGAGGACCTCCTTTCATGTATAACTCTCTTTTCTGTCTGTCTGTCTTTCTTTCTTTTCTTTTCCTTTTTTTTTAAACCAAATTGCTGTTGTGCTCTACTTGATGGTTTTTAGCCATTATGTCTACTAATTATGAACATACAATAAAAAAATTAGCTGAAAAAGGGGACACCAGGTCCCAAAATTATCATGACTTGTGGATGCTATTGGTTTAGAAGTTAGGTTGAGACTTAATTCCTGTATACTTTCCACTTATGGCCCCCCTCCCTCCCTCCTTCCCTTGGTACCTCATCAGTATAGCATACAGCTGTATCAGCAAAAAGATCATCTGAAATATTTTCGGAGGTTTAATATTATTAGTCCTGAAAAATACTGACAACTTGCAAATTTTGTGAAATTTATTCAACCTCATTTAAATTTCAGGAAATTTCAAAGTTTTCGATGCTTCAAAAATGCAAGGTGAAAAAATATTTTAGAAGTTAGGGGCCCTTGATCCTTTGTTCTGTTATGCGTTTGATAAAAATCTTTTGAAGAAAAAGTCTGAAATGGAGAGTAACTTACCCGATCTCATCGTAATCTCGATTATAATCAAGATAAACCCACTTGTTCTTGACTTTTCGAAATCTTTCGACGACAAAATCCTCCTGTTGGCCCGTAATTCTTCCACTGGGACCATCTTCTAATTCTGAATCAGGGATTTCCCCTAGTTCCTTTTCTACATCCATAGAAGAAGCGACAGATTTTGGAGCAGTAGGTGCAAGACGTGGTCCAAAAGCTCGATGTTTGCAGACAAAATTGTTTGAGGAATTATTGACGCCGTTGAAGTATAAGAACAAACTGATAACTTCCTTTTCTGCGAGAAGTTCACTTGCAGCAACTTTCGATGAAAACTCTTCAAGTGTCATTGTGGGGAATCTAATGAGACTAAGAGGTTCCTTGAGAACTAGGCGTTGGTTCTCAACTGTTGAAAATATATTCCTGCGGGTGCATTCAGATCTAGACCATCTAAAAGAGAAAAAAACAAAAAAAAACTTGAGCATTCAGGATAAGGCTTAAAAGTAAGTAAAAAAGTAGATATTAATCCTCGGAGCACGGGTGCAGAATCTTCTTGGCGCCCTTGGTTTCACGCACTTGCTTCCCGGCTTTCCACATTTTGCTCAACAGTTTTCCAAAAAATTTCCCATCAATTTCAAAAGTGAATACCTTAGAGACTTACTACAGCACAGGTTTGTAAAAAGGTCATCGCACTTTGAAATTTCTGAGGAAAAAGGGATTTTTAAAATGGGTAGGGCCAAAAACTTTCTGCATCACTGAGTGGAAGATTTGATGATTTGCTCAGTGAATGAAACCAGTACAGAGATACTCAGTCAAAGAGATCCTTCTTCCTCTCAGCGCTCGAGAATGGGCTGGTAAAACCCATGAAATAACTTCAGGATATTGAAAACTTTCAAAAAAAGAAAACTTCATGGAAAAACCCAGTCAATGTCTGTCCTCTTATGTATTGCTCCTTCCTCTCTCTATCTCCCTCCTCCTCTCGTATAATTGTACATTTCCATCCAGATCAAAGCAGAGATTGCCCGCATGCCTGAGCATCGTACTCTATTTTCACCTGACCCATTCTTGAATGCGGAGAAGACAAGGAATCTCCTTTACTTATTATCGCTGGATTGGCTTCAATCCCTAAACAAACGATCAAAACTCCAACTGCAAATTTGTGAAAACGGTGGTTTGTAGATTGACATGCAAGATATTGCACGCAGTCAGATATGATTTCTGATGAGGACAAATAGACAAGTGCAAGGCAATAAAAAAAATTGGAAGACCGTGAGGGCACCCAATCCCATAAGAGATGCGTAGGGTCCTTTAGGGTTAATTATTTTGGTAGAGTAATACTGCATGATTTCTCTCAATTTCCCCATTACTTGAACTTCTGAAAAAAATAAATTCCATTTTTTGATCTAATTCACTCAAGTACAAAATGACCCATGACTCAGACCCAGCAGCCGGATTGTTGAAACTTTAACTGGCTATGTCGGCACGATAAGACAAGACATAGCCCTATCTGCGCTGTGTAATATATCGATTTTCGATTCTTGTCGTGCCGACATAAATTTCAACAATCAGGCTGCTGTATTCATACTTTCTCACTCCTCCCAAAGCCTGAGAAAGGCTTTTTCATTTTACTTCTCTCTTACCTTTAAAAGGCAAAGGAGTTTCAGAGGAGGATTCCAAACTTCTCTCCTAAAAATTGCTGTGAATCAACGGATTCTCAACCAAATGAGTTGAATGAGGGCTCCTAGAAAAGGTAATGAGATTATGTTCTAGCCGATGGGCACCACCATATTTCTAGCTCACTTTTGTTGTGGGCTAATTCAAGTTTAGTGATAAGATTTGTATCATATTTTGAATAAGACCTGACACAAAGGTGTCAGGTCTTATTCAAAATATACACAAGATATACAGTGAAGTATAAACCTTACTTGACGATTGCTTGAAACAGATCAATCTCTCGGATTTTCAATGAATCTCGGCACAGTATTTTCAATAAGGTTTTATCATCAACCTTGAGAAAGTCTTCGGATGAAATTGATTCTAGAGTATAGTCATCTATAATTTTGAAGCAATCCTCTTGAACCTCATCACAACCTACTTTGACTGCCTGTGATATAAAAAACAAATAAATGTATGAATATAAATAAAAACAATAAGAAGAAGAACAACAATTCTACTAAGTTGCATAGTAATACAGCTAGCAAACACACTCTGTGATAATTGATGAACATTAGGGGTACATTCGATCGAAATATTACTCGGCTACCTGATAAATGCATGAGCTATAAACACAATCCTTTGTTGTTGTAACCTACAGGTGGCTAGAAACCTTTCAACTTTCAGAGAATCTAAAGATGGACAAAACTATATACTACCAGGATCTGTCTTTCTCTGTTCCAGTTCTTTCAACAGTATTGTGCAAGTTTCTGCAAAGGAAAATTGACCCAATCTTGGGAAGGTTTCTGGAATTGTTCTTTCTTCAACATAATGAAAATTAGTCAAAGAAACTATCGTTTGTACCTAACTTTTGATGGTGTAAATAACTGCTACAACTAAAAACTACAATTCAAATCATGAACATAAGATGAGATTTAATTGATTTCTTAGTATTGAACATTGCCGTATTGAATCCGTGGTGATTAGAATGAGCCTAAGTGATGGAAATCCGTACCTTTTTTTTATTATGTTCTGCTTGATGATGGTTGCATTTAATGCTCTAAATTTGTTGAAAAGTTTGTGGTACATTTTGTTATTATGATGTTCAGAATGTATATATAAACGCTCTGATGAAAACTAAAAAGTCCAAAAGCCTTGAGCAATAAAAAAAAAAGGTACAAAACATTATGTTTTGATTAATTTATTCACTACGGATACAAAATGAGATTTAATACCCAAAATCTCAATGGATTAGAGAAACCAATATTGTTGGATGGATTTGGTACATCATGCATTGCTGACTTCTTTGGATTTTGATTCTTTGCAGAACAGTGCAGTGAAAACGTAGGAAACATTTGAAGTTAGTGTTGTCAAAGTTTGTCCACTGTTGGGTGAAAGAGGTGAATATAAAATGATGGTTCTGATGGATTGAAATTTCAAAAAATCAGAATTGATCAGGAAGCGATTGATGAAAATAAATCTTACTTGCAATAACAGAGTGAAGACATTACTTGGATTCAAACTATTTTTAAGGAATCCAAGACAACGGTTAGTCAAACCTGGAACACCATATTTTTTTGATAAGTACAATAAGGGGAAAGCTATTTCCTGCTTTAAAACAGCTTCATCGGTGTACAGAAACCTGAAACAAAAAATTGTTGATACCTATATTTTAGTAAATACAATTGTTGGAAAGTGATCTTTGGGGATTTTTCAGGGAAAAGAACAGTATGAATGAGCTGACAGATGATTTCATGATAACAGGAATAGTTATGATGCCAGTTTCATTTTCAAGTAGTTTCAAGAACAGAGGTACAACATACTTAATCGAAAAAGAACAAAGTTGCCATTAGAAATTGTCTTATTTGTTAACCTGCATAAGATTCATCCTAAACATTGTGAGAAATTATCATCACTAAGACTTTTAGACCGTAAAAAGAGAGGGCAGTTATACGCGTATTCAAAAGAGAAAATGTGTCCTGATGGTTACTTGCCTGACAGGAAATTTTACAGTCTAGAGGTTTTAGCAATACCTACTGATTTCTTGTATATCATGATTGCATTGATCTATGCACAGTCACAACTTTAAATGATTTTCAACAACAGATGTTTCCTGCTTCAATTAAATTGTTCTAAGTCTATGAAAACACTAAAAACTCAACTGGCAACACCAAAATTCCTGTTGTCATAAAATCATCCTTACAACTGTCAGTGACTCAAGAATGGGAGCTAGGCTATGGTATTCTGCAGATCTGCTGACAGGAAAAGTCCATAAGAAAGTTTATCCTTATTCAGAGTCAAATTTTATCCCAAAAACAAACATTTTGTACAAGATTATCTACTTACCCTACATGGGTCAGTTAAAAATAAAACAGACTTGCAAAGGATTTGAAATAGTTTTTGTAAGGGCAAATAAATATTTTATTATTGTTCAGGGAACTTTTAGAAACTTGAATTATATAAATGGTGAAGAAATATAGAAACATTATTCTGAAAATAAATGCAAAATTTCTGCAATGAAACTAATTCGTGTTCTACAGATGTTAAAAAATTGAATAGCATACCGGATGAATGCTTCAAAGACTGGAGCCTCCACGTCAGGTACTTCAATGACAGTTAGTATTCCCATGTTATCGACAAACATTCTGTGAAACAACTCACTTCCTGCTGCTAATATTAACTTGTTGGCAGCAAGTTTGGTATTCAAATCTTTGCCAACGATGAAATTTACATTCGAATACATTTTAGATTCAAAAATATGACGCAGCCTTTCAGTCAAACTCTGCTTTTTGAAACGCCAGTCCGTCTTTTCAGCCATTTTAACCTGAAGAAAAAAATAAAAAGAATTGAAGGAACAGAAAGTAATAAAGTCTACAAAATACACTGCAAATATGTTTATACTTCAGCAGTGTTAGAAGAACACTCATCTGTTTCTAAAAGGACCCCGCACACCTCTTATGGGAAGCTGCACCACGACCGATTGCCTTCTGACTTATGTTTTTTGATTCTCCTCAAGGTGCTGATCAAAAGTTATAATTGCGCCAACTTTCTACGATGCACCCTTTTCGCAAAAACCTAAGAGAAGATTCAATTATTCGGCGATAAAAAGCCAGAAAGATTCCTCATTTCAGTAAGTACTCAAGTGAACAAATCAGGGGAACTCCCGCACTGACCGGCAGTCTTATCTCGGATTCCGCTCGCCGTTTTGCTCGACCATCCAAATCAGATTCTTGAGGAGCATAAGAACAGGAAAGTCTGAATGTCTACCGGGCGAGTGCGGGAGAGAGATAGCCTCTGAGTCGGCAGGTACAGATAAGAAGACGGACAGGCGCTACGTTTTTTCCTTATTTACATCGAGCCTGTCCTCAAATGCTTTGTTCTTTTTTATTCATAGTCGCTGAATAATAGAATCTTCTCTTAGGTTTTTTGCGAAAACGGTGCATCGTAGAAAGTTGGCGCAATCATAACTTTTGATCAGCATCTTGAGGAGAATCGAAAAACATAAGTCAGAAGGCAATCGGTCGTGGTGCAGCTTCCCATAAGAGGCGGTGTGCAGGGTCCTATATAATGCGTATGAAATGTTCCTACTTCTTGACAGTTAAGGCCTTAAATGACAGAATTAAAGAATGAGATATAAGATTTGTCATCTAATTCATATGTTTTCTCAGTTCCATCACAAAAATGAACACGGTGCTTGTATCTTAATCTGAAAATGGATCAAACTATTTGAATCTCTCACGAGTCGTGGTCATCAATCATCCTAAGCATATGAAGATTGATCTTGTTTGCTTATCATGGTAGTAAAGCTTCAGTTTATGTTCGTTTCCTGACCCATTGGGACACCCCAGCATACTGATCCTCTTTGCTTACACCTCAGTGCAACAACCGCCAAATTTACTGCACAGGAATAGGACCAGGGCTTAGAGTATTCATCAACGTAGCTACCATGATAGAAGTTGCGATGAAAACATGTAATCGTAAAGATTTGACAAAATGTCCATCTAAGGCATCATTTTATTGAAAATTCCCTGGAGGAGGCCCCCATGACCCTTCGAAGCTTGATTTATTCCGATAGGGCTGATATGGGAGCAGGAAAACTCTAGTTGCCTTGGAAAGGACAGATGTCAGATCTGGGCATGCATTAAGTACCTACAAACTGACAAGAGACTGAGAATTCTACTGAAGATTGTTCATTCAAACTTGAGAAGTAAGTCCATACTAATCAAACACTTGATTAGTAATTTTTGATTATTTTCAGGAGGCAAGCGCACCATGATCAATGATTCTTCATGGTCAACGATAAATTCAGCGTAATACGAAGTATAAGGTCTAGAAAATAGTTCATTTCAGTTCTACGAACCCAACAGGAAGCTGCTTAGATTCCAGAAATTCTCATTAAAAGCTCACGTGCTCCGTGCGCAGGGACCGGGATAGCAATATAGCATACAAGGTAGATTTACACAGGTATGGACAGAACTAAACAACTGGCCTCTGATTGGCTCTCCAGCGGCCCCTTAACGTCAGCCATTTTGGATGTTTTGATTATTTTGATTTATTATGTTCGGTTTATCGTTTGTCAAAATTTTGTGGGATTTTTTGCACAATTTTGGTTATACGATATTAATTTTAGCGTTTAAACGCACAAACGTTTGAATGTTAANTAAGGTCTAGAAAATAATTCATTTCAGTTCTACGAACCCAACAGGAAGCTGCTTAGATTCCAGAAATTCTCATTAAAAAGCTCACGTGCTCCGTGCGCAGGGACCGGGATAGCATAGAAGAAATAAACAACGCCGACGCCGGGATAGTGTTGCAATGTTGACCGAACGGAGCAGGATGAAATCAGGAACTATATCATTCAAATCATTCGGTTTTTACACAAAAACATGCGAAAATGTAGAATGTAAGGAACAATCTTCTGCATTGTAGTGCTAACTTACAATTAGCGCGATGCCGATAAATGAAAATTAATAACGAAACCAACAAAAACAACAGGTGCGGCTCGCGGGCGGACAATGGGANGGGGGGGGGGGGGGGGGGACATAGAGCTCAGGAGTGGACAGGAGGAGAGAGGAGAGAAGTCCCGGCCAAAAATTCCTGGAGAATTCCGCGTTTGTGCAGAATCGTTCCTCTCTGGGGAACAAACCATAATTCAAATTTCTGGCGCCAGATTTGAAAATACGGACATGTCAAGAGCGAGCGCAATATTCATACCGTACGATTCCTCGTATTGGTGACATCAGTGCTTACTTACAACAATGTGCTAATGACTGTTCCACGTCGATCTTTCGTTAGGGTCCGCTGGGAGTGCCGGGACCAGTAAATCCAGCATGATTTGTTCTCTGCTCTCATTTAATCCTCTACCATAGCTTTATAACTGAGATATGGAGTCAGCAAAAAAAGGCCCTCTACGATGGAAACTGAAGCTGATTAGCACAATGAAATAAGATCGATGGTGAAACTGCAAGATTGTGTACCTTGTTCCCGGTTTTCAATTAAGATCTTCATTCTTGTTTTATATAATTTTGGAGAAGACCAGACTAACACAGTGGTTCAAGATTTTTATGGAATAATCTTCACACAGAGGAAAAAATCACGGAAGTACTCGAGATAGTATAAGCACGTGAAAGTTTCTTATTTAAAAATTGGACCGCGTTAAACAGAAAGGAACCAAGCCACATCAGCTATTGCCAAATTTAACAGGGAAATTACATTTTTTACGCAAAAACGCCTGTGCAGATTCCTTTGCAAATTTTAAGGAATTTGCTTTGTATTATGGAAAAAATTCACTGAGATTTGCACAGAAATCCGCACAACCGTTTTCATGTAAAAAATTAAATCGCCCGATTAAATTTGGCAATAGCTGATGTGGCTTGGTTCCTTTCTGTTTAACGCGGTCCAATTATAAGTGTAACAGAAAGTCTGCAACATCCCAGGCCAAGCTACGCATTTTTGCCATTTTACCGGCGATACTTGCGGCCGAACTGTTTCCAGTTTTTAATGCAAAATTTGCTTTACCTACCTTATTTTATGATTTGCATCATTGGTCATGTTTCATGTTTGAAATGAATTGTTGCTAGAGGTGTGACAGTATCAGCAAACTTCATGAATGTTATGCTCCAAGAGGCAATTTATAGTTCTCTAACTTCGACCTACATTTTACGGTTCATTTTCCTGTGTCCCTCACACCACACGAAGCAGAATCAACTCCTTTAGGTAATTTAATAAACACTGTTTCAGTGACTTCACATTATTTGGGAAACAGAAAATGACTCCTGTATTGCTCTATCATACATTAGTCTTTCAGAATTTCAAAATTTACTGCAAATAAAGGCCCACTTTAAGAGGAAAATATCCCATTCCTGGAAATTAGGAGGGTGGTGGGAAAAAACCGATGTCATTTTTGAACCCACCGCTAAATCTAGCACTTATGATAAAAATTGTGGACCTGCAAAATCTAAGTATGTACTATAGACCTTCCCTCTTACTCTTAGGCACTGTTTTTGAAATTTAGTCCAGAATGACAATGCAATCGATATGCCAAAATGATTTACCTGACACTGTTTGATTCAAATGAATACGTGGTTTTTCGTCAAGCAGGGCATATAAATTAATAGAAGACATGGAAAGTTTTAATTTCTCATTCTACCGTTTATCTTGGTAATTTTGGAATTGCCTACTATAATCCAAACGAAACTTGGACAACAGACATGCAAATAGATGGTGAAATTTCCAAACGTTGTATCTTGTTACATACCTCCGTTTGCAACATCACAGATTTCAATAGAGAACCAATGCCAATTCAATCAAATGTCAATGCCAATTCTTGAAAACTTCGAAAAAAGAAAACAACAAAATTGAGGAACTCCTTCTCACAAAAATTAAATTAAAACTGCGGACGCGTTTTAGAGCTCTTCAGTTCCTACTTCAAGGCTTAATTTTGATGTTCTGTTGTCGTGAAAACTTCCTTGACATTTCTTGTCTATGCAAGATCAATTCTGAGAAAACATCAAGGAGCGATGTTGATTCGTTTCCTTCTAAAAAAATTGAACAAGAGCAGAGATTTTTAAACATCACAAACAAGATACATAGTTTGGGAGTTTCACCATTGAAATGGACGTAGTTCTACCAAACAGACCTATGTGGAGGTGAGAAATATGGGGTGTGCTCTAGAAATCTGCATAAGAAGCAATGTAAAAGTGGGCGTGGTTCCGTTTGAAGAATTGGAAAAACGGGATAATGCATTCTATCAAACAGACCTATGTGCCAACTGAATGCGGGAGTCATGAGCCGCGGGCAGGGCAAGAAAGCGTTGTGGACAGGGCTCATGAGTTACAGCGCCCTGACGATGATCCCCGGCGCGTGCTCCGTGTGCGTGTCGTCTCCTTCATTGCCGTTGACGTCACTGGCGCTTTATTATTCTCATTCACTCTTACGCAAGAGAACTAACGAGCACACCCCATATTTCTCACTTCCACATAGGTCTGTTTGGTAGAACTACGTCCATTTGCATTAAAGAGAGTTTTAATCAAAGTTTTATAGATAATAGATTAAAACTTTCCCCTAGATATTAAAACTGTCATTTTGAGAAAAGAGATTCAATTCAATTTTCACTTTACGAATCAGAAACAAGAGACGAATCTGGGATGGAAATAATGAAGAATTTAAAAAGTTGTTTGTCATTTTTATTATAAAGAGGCAATGTACAAAAACAAAAAAATTAACGTTTTCTTCGGAGTTGGAGGGTGTTCTGCCTGCGCCAGCATTTGCGACGAGAACCACCAATGGTGTGTGCGAATTTTGGTCCTCTTCCGAGACCTCGGGAGCTACGTCCAGCTGATGTTAATCCACGCAATTCTCTGTGCTTGTGAACTGGGTTACAGATCCAGTTGACTTTAGGATCACGACGAATAGCCTGTTATAAAAATGAAGAAAGGAAATTAAAAAGTTGCAAAAGGTAACCAATTATCATACTGCCGTGAGCCAGCCTTCCCATTTTTTGAACCAATGTTTACAAACAACCAATCTCGACTCACCATACAGCAGGTTCCTGAGCTCTTGCTGCAGGGTTTCCATAATTTCTTCATCGTCAAATTCCCTAACTATTTTTGCTCCACCCTGACCGATTCAAAAATTTTCTGATTTCCTGACTTTTGAACACTGCAACTTACATCATGCATTAGAGCTTATTTCTGCAAGAATTGTTACTTTCACTAAATTTTAAGGATGGACATACAGCAAAACCTTTCAATTCAAGTCTCATCTATGGAATCATTGATCTACTAAAAAAAAGAGAAGGTAACGAAGCAAGTTGACAACAAGCAAGACTACAAGCAATTGTAGATTAACAAGTGTCTTTATATTTATGTGTTACCATGATATGTAATTCACAGAAAGGAAAACGTAAGCTGGATGCTGTAGAGCAAAATATTCCTTCAGAATGAATTACGTAAAACACGTCAATATTGAAAATGAAATGAGAAAACTTACCTTGTGGAAAGGATCGATCAGAATGACTTCGTAGTATTTGTAGGTATTATCTTGTCCTACCCAGTATGAGTTCAGTACCCTTAAACCTCCACAGACACGTCCAACACGTTCCTGAAACAGAAGATCCACAACCAAATTATTTAAGTTCAAAAAAAGATCTTCTTTTGTCTAACACTCAGAGAGTATTTGATTAAGTGCCAACTGGAAAAGGAGAGCGAATTTTATGTGCAATGAAAGCAATTTCGTACAAAATGTCTCAGGATTATGAGAATAGAATCAGACACAATGTCATATACTCGGTGAATACAATCATCATAGACTATGATATCAGTTTCTTTTAAAACCTTCGTTTCTAGAAAAAGTACAAAGCAAGTGTACAGAGCAACGCCCCATCAAAATGGAATTCATTTCTTGGTTGCAGCTCAAAATTGGTATAAAAACCACAAAGCATACTTAAGTAAGCACTTCTTAACAAGAAAATTTTAACTTGACCCTAACAAAGAGACCCGAGGAAATGGAGCCTTTACCCAATAGCAAATGAGAGCTGCTTAATAACTGTCCTCAGGCACTAGGTACGCTTTTCCGAGCTTAAAAAGATTAATTATGCTAGTCCTTTGTAAAAAGTATTGGTTCAAATTTCATTAAGCCCTTGGTGGGATGTTACTCCCTTTTTCTTTACCCTGTAGCCTCAGAATTACGAGATGGAATCAGACATAATGTCATATACTCGGTGAATATAATCATCATGGACTACATCAAAAAACGTCAACTGCAAAAAAAAATTGATCTCTTTGATTTCGGCAAGCTATGACCTTAAATGCATAAGCACGTTCCAAAGATTAAAGAGGTACAGGATTAAAAAACAAAAAGAAACATTAACAATTACCCAGCAGTGCGTAAATCCTGCATGAATCTTTGAGTCTCAATGAATAAAGATAAATTTATAAAACTGCCGTGGTTTGAAAAAAGTATAACCTGGCTTCATTCAATTTCAAAAAAAAAAAAAAAAAAAAAAAAAAACAATCTACGAACAACAGCATGGTGTAACATGTTTGGACCTTCACAATGGCTATTTAAACGCATAACCAGCATCTTTTATAGTAATGATTTTGAAATGTTATTAAAAAAAGAACAACAGTATTATTAATTTTTTTTAGTTTAATAATGATCTTCACGATTAGAAACTGCCAACTCTACATTTCTTTTCCTTGCAAAATGGGTATTACGATTAGCTTTGAAGCTTAAGGTTCAGAGGCTTTTAGACATCAGAATTTAATTCAGATGGCCATGGAAGTTGAAATGCTAAGAATCATCATAACCTTAAATGTACAGAAACCAGAGAGCATAAAGCATTAAAATCTACAGCTTCCTTTCTTTAATCTTATTTACAATTCTAGTGGAGGGGAAGATTCATTACATTTTATTGGAACATTCTCGAATGGAGTACAAATTTGACATCAACAATTGCACCTCCTGAAAATCTTGCAAAGGACTGTGGAAAACGTAGTCTTTGGAAGCCTACATCTTCACAAATTTTTGACTTAGGAAATACAAGAAGGCTCCATTGAATTGTTGATCAGTTGATCTAGAGCACAGGACATACTGCATTTCAATAGGTTTCTCTGTTCACTTAAAATACGATATTGGAATTGCTATATATGACAACAAAAGCGGTTTCAAATTTTTTTTTGTTTATTTTATAAGTGGGCGCAAAGTTCAGATATGATGTTAGGCATCAGAATAGAATTCAGATGGCCATGGAAGTTCTTAAAATGAAAATCATCACGACATTTCCAGAATCCACTCGACATCAGGGTTAAAATCCGGCTTACGTTTCTGCAAACTAAGGCTTCAGTTTTCGTGAAAAAAATTTAGATCCTATTCTTGGTTTTGGACTTTTTCGCTTGAGTGTTTCAGTAGGCATGGAAGATGAGAGGGGAACCACTTGATTAAAACAGATTTAGGAGGGGCGTTAGGGTCTCAGTTGGCACAGAGAGCGGGTTAAGAGTCTTGCTGGCAACTATTACAGATCGGGATGAATAAATTGGGCTCAGTTGGAGGTGCATGTTTTGAAAAATCATTTCAAATCATCGTTGGTGGATAATATCATCATTGAAACGCATGGCTGAGAGAAATAACTTTGTTTTTTGAGCATTTACACAGGTCAAAACTAATCCTCTGTCAATGCATGCATGACTGCATCGTGCAATTAGGAGCGACAATTTTTGGCTCAGTTTAGAAACAAAGTACGTACCATTACTTTCCACATACATTGGATACTTCAAACTATGAGCCAAATATTGTGATTCCTGAATGCAAAATGTAGTCCAATTCTAAAGAGTCTTGCAGGCAATTTTCTAAGATCATGTGGAATTGAATGGGCTCAGTTGGAGGTGCATGTTTTGAAAAATCATTTCAAATCATCGTTGGTGGATAATATCATCATTGACACTCATGGCAGATAGAAATTACTTATCTTTTAGAGCATTTATGCTGGACGAAAGTATGCCTTTACAAATCGATTGAAAAGTCTTTACAGGCAACTATTAAAGATCATGATGAATTGAATGGGCTCAGTTGGAGGTGCATGTTTTGAAAAATCATTTCAAATCATCGTTGGTGGATAATATCATCATTGACACTCATGGCAGAAAGAAGTTACTTATCTTTTGGATCATTTATGCTGCTCATTATGATCTTTGACTATCGATTGAATATTATTGCTGGTAATTTGTAAAAATCGTGATTAACTAAGAAGCTCAGTTGGAGGTGCATGTTTTGAAAAATCATTTCAAATCATCGTTGGTGGATAATATCATCATTGACACTCATGGCAGATAGAAGTTACCTATCTTTTAGATCATTTATGCTAGACGAAAGTATGCCTTTAAAAATCAATTGAAAAGTCCTTACGGGCAACGATTAAAGATCATGATGAATTGAATGGGCTCAGTTGGAGGTGCATGTTTTGAAAAATCATTTCAAATCATCGTTGGTGGATAATATCATCATTGACACTCATGGCAGAGAGAAGTTACTTATCTTTTGGATCATTTATGCTGCTCATTATGATCTTTGACTATCGATTGAATATTATTGCTGGCAATTTGTAAAAATCGTGATTAACTAAGAAGCTCAGTTGGAGGTGCATGTTTTGAAAAATCATTTCAAATCATCGTTGGTGGATAATATCATCATTGAAACTTCGGAACAGCAGATGTAAGTAAAGGGCACAGCTGAACATGACAGGTTATTTATTTAAGAACAATCAATCAAACTACGTACTGAAAGGTTGTGAATTGATTTGCTTTTCCCTTTATGTTAATACGAGCGATCGTATTAATCAATACGTTATTAAGCGATCCTTCCATGAGAATTTAACTTCGCAAGAGGTGTAAGTTTTGTTCTTCCTTTTAGAACTTGCAAAAGCGTGATTTAAGATACACGCAATTTTGGAGTAGAAACGTCTGACCAAGAGTAGTTAAAGTGACATACTTTAGTTCGATTTCTAAGTTGACAATTAAAGATTCTCCAGCAATGAAATGTACATTTCACCGACACATTGAACACCATTAAGCAGCGCTTGATGATTGTTTCAGCTACAGGTGCATGAAATAAGATCATTGCTGTCATAATAAAATAGATCATCACAACAATCATGGTGACTTTCAGAGAATTTCTAAAATTTCAATTCGAAAATCTTGAGATTGAGTAGCTTAAAGTGGACTCTCATGTTTGATTCAGCTACAGGTGCATGAAATATAATCATTGCTTTCATAATAGAATAGATCATCATGACAAACAGTGTTAGTTAAGAGTCCCTTGAGCTCCTTTCTTGTAGTCAGGACCCGAGAACAGGATGAGAAGTATCTGACATCCATTCTCACCTAAATTGTACGTACAGGCTGTAACTTAAAGTGCCACAAAAAACAATAGAATGAGGATTAAAGTTTACCTCTGCAAGAGCCTGAAGGTTGCGAGTAGGTTTCAATTGATTGACACCATGATTTTTAGGTTTTCCATATGTGCACCCCTTTGGTACAGGCTTCCTACGGTTACCTCGTCGTACTTTCGTGCGGTATATTAAAAATCCTACACAGAAACGGAAAAGAGAAAACAGGATTAGAGCTGAACAAGCAAATGGGGCTCCTGAATCATATTCATGTGTGAAAAAAGTGAATATGTCAGGACAAAAATTGTTATCGACGCTAGACAATGAAATTTTTATTTTTTGAACAACTAGTCAGATATTTTTCTTTCCTTTTTGGAGCGACAGTCTGCTGTGTGTTACAGCGTGTTTAGCTGACGCTCCTGACAATCTTACTCATCACCAAGATTAAGACTAGATTAGATTGATTGCTTAGTTAATGAACTACTGAACTTGTCATTTCTGTACAACTGAAAATTGTACAGTTGTTTATACGTCTATTAATTAAGAGATTCGTCATCCAAAACAAGAAGTCTGCTTTGTGTGACAGTCAAAGTAACCAACTGCTAACTTGCTGAACAACACTTTTGGGAAGGTAATATTTAAGTAGGTTCATGAGGGCAGAATCATTCAAGATTGTTATTTATACTCTCGGTTTTGATAAGCAAACTTCCTTGACAGCAATGTTTCCTGGAATCTTCGATTTAGGATGGCATTTTATAAAGGCATTATGCAAGGATTCCAACTCAATTCAACTGAAACAACACGCATTACTGATGAAACTTCACCATCCCAACTAGATTAAACTCACCCTGAGAAATCTATATATTAGCGCATGATGCCATGAGATTTTGGTATGAGGATAGACAAATACCCTGCGTGCAACCAGTAACAAAAATATAAGAGGAGGCCGATTGCACAATGCAAAAAGGTAAAGTCAATATAATTGATTACCTTGCTTGGCTCTGTATCCTAGATTTCGAGCTTTGTCGGGTCGAGTTGGTCTGGGTGCTCTGTGAACTCGTGAAAGTTGCCTGTACTGCCATACGCGGACACGTAGTAAGTACCGCATAACATCACTCTGCTTTTTCCTGTAAAGTTCTTGAATATATTTGTAGGCCCCCATGGTTGAAGAAGGGGCTTAACACCTGAAACCCAAGCAGACATCATGGTTAATGAAGGGAAGTTAAGGTGAGACATGCACTCAGGATACAGGAGAAAGCGATGATGCTGACATTTCCCATTCACACATGACTCGTCGTACATTGTACAAAAAATGGGGTTCAAGTTGCGACGCTGTTGGAGGATTGGTCAAATTGCTGTAGCGAAGACAGAATCCTACCCAAATTTCTACGAAAAGTTAGGGGAAGATAATATGTAATGTCCGTCTGCAATTAAAGTAAAGAGGTTAGGTGTCCAAGTTGGCAAAGGAAGCCAGCAGGGACTTGAAGGAAAATTGGTGCTTGAAACATCAACTCTCACGTGAATCTGCAGTACCTTTGGAGTTTCACAGTTTAAAATAGACAAAAATCTACACACTCCGATCTGAATCTGTAAATTAACTGCGACGTCAGCCTAAGTACACGTTTTTGACAGAGCTACTACGAGGCGGCTTGGGCAGGGGCTCAGTGCCATGCACAATTCACAAATTAGGAGAGCGCCATCCAATTCATGAGATGAGCAAGAGCACAAATTGGATATTAAACGATCGTAAAATTATTAGCATTTATCTTACAAATAATGGAGGCAGAAGATTAAATTGGATAAATTTTTACCTTAGAGGCAGGATCCCGAATAATGTAAACACTGTCCACCACACCGATTTTACGGGGAAGGCCACGATTTGTAAGCAGCAGGGGTATTACGGGCAAGGCAGCCATTGTATACGTCATAGCGGTCAAAGTTGTGTCAGCTGGTACATTATACTTAGGTTGTCAGACTGTATCATATAATGATAATTCCAAATCGCATTAAAATTCAAGTTGTACTCAAAATTATTAAAATCCTTGGTAAAAATGAAGTAATTTTCTTGAGTTTAATTGCAAGTTTAGAAACTGCTAGAGTACTTACCAATGTTTTTTAAAAAAGAATCTGCTAATCAAGAAAATCAAACTTTTAGTTGGAGACTTGACAGCACTTCGTTTCTCAAAAACGTAAACAGTGCGGAAGCCGCTGATTTCGCGCGGGCTTCTTTCTTATCTGCATGTCCATGTGAATTGTGAACGTCAAAGCAATTTTAATCACAACAAGGATGATTAATTCTGTTAAATCTCCTTTTTAAGAGGAATCAGTAACTCTATCACCGTCAATATGGTACGTCAATAATTCAGTTTTTCAGTAGTTACATCAATTTAGTAATAATGTCTTTACTGGATAATATCAAATCCTTTCTTGGATTTTCAACTCCTAAATTTGATGGAAGCTGTAGCGTAAGTTTTCAGTCAGTTTAGTCAGGGCTACTATCTTAACTTGTTGTCCTTCACTCCTAGTCTTCACTCCTTTTAAAAATTACTTATCTTCGGATTGTCATCATTGGACGATGTACAATTCCTTTTTATCTCTATTCATGCAGATGTAGATTAAGTTAAACCGAAGTGACTAGCAGGAAGTGGGGAGGTTTTCTTCAGAAGGTTATCTTTTCTTTCATAGATGTGTTCTCCAAATATGAGGGATGTTGATGTATGAGTAGATATTATTACTGGCACTGATGCATCCACACTGATTTCTAAGTACCTCCAATAAACAAGGTATTGAGATCGATTAACATGTGTAGCGGTGGCATGGCGTGCTTTGCGATATATCGATTGATTTGTCATTTCAACCTATGGAAAGGATCGATAAACAGGGTGTTTGTAACAAACACCTTAATAACTGATTCTTTACCATAGCTGCAATGGGGAAATAGCGATAATCGATCATTCACGCCAAGCCCCTGATGTCTAATACAAATTCTCCAGCTGAAAAGCATGTGCGTTGCTCGCTGCTCAGTTTAAGACCATATATCTCCATTGTGGTGTTTGAAAATTACCGCTCCTTTTTTATTTTCTCAAAGAGAAACAAGTCAACTGCATAGCTTGAAATTCCAACAGATTATTCTGTTAAGAGAAAAAAAATCAAAGAAGTTTTTAAGAAATTAAGTTGATTCATTTTCTGAAGAAAAGACAAGAGTAGGTACCTACAATATTCCATAGTAAGTAATGCACAGACACATTAAATGTCAAAACTACTTGGTGCACAAATTGAATTTTAGCCTAAACCTGATGAAATCAAAAGGTTTGAAAAAATACTGTACCCGTGACAGTTATCAACATGCATGCTTGAATCTTTCGAAGCTCTTGAATTTTTCAGCAGTTTTACCTTTACTGCAACATGTGTATAATATCTAGTATTGTACTTTTGTAAATTTAGTGTATATTTAAAATGTCCCAATGATTGTAGCATCAATGTAGCATGTATGCCAAATTTATCTTGTAAGAGTCTAATTAATGTGAGTTTATTTCCTCAGAATCCAGATATGGAGAGTCACACCTACACCATTGGTGGGGTGGTAGTTCACTTTCCCCACAAAGCCTACGGAGCTCAAGTAGCAATCATGGATAAGGTCAGTATACATTTTTGTCTAAAGGCATGAAATTCTTGTCATACTAGCCAATGCATATTTAAAATACTTGACCGGCTTAAAATTATTCTTAAGAAGAAGATTGTTCCTTCATTTAATTATAATAGTGTTGCATTATGCTTTTACTTCTACATATCTATGAGTAGTAGAAAATAAAGGGAGAAAACTTCTAATTTGAAAGTCGTCAAATTTTTTGGCACATCCTTGAATGTACCTACTTGAAAAATGTTGTGGAAGTCTTTTTAAGATCCCTGAAAATTTTTAATTTTACTATAGAAGTCCTGGAAAAGTTTATGAAAAGTCATGATTCTGGCTTGGAAAAGCTGCAATAAACCCTGAACTTGTAAAACAACTGTCAAACTGAAAGTTAGTCTTATCCATCCCGCTGGTTAACCTTTCCTCTGTACGCCTAATTGAATTATTTCCTGACACAGGTTATTCGCGGTTGTAATTCAAGTCGGAATTGCTTAGTCGAAAGTCCTACAGGATCTGGAAAAACTTTAGCCTTGTTATGCTCAGCTTTAGCATGGCAGGGGGTTCAAAAAGGTGAGACCATTTGTTTATAAACTCAGGTGAAGATCGGAGGTTTTTTCATCGATTATTTAAACACCGTACTTTGTGCCTTATCAGTACTGATGGTGTCTTAGTCATTGGTTGTAACAGTTATGAAACTAGCCGCTTTGGAATGTCTTGATAATAAGGTACACAACACACCAGTTTTAAGAAAAACAGTTTAATCAATTTTCTTTGCCTTAAGTCAACCCTCAAATAATGCACTTTAAAGGATTTGACACACTGTCATCCGATTGCCAAGTAGATAGATCAATACTTTTCCTTGAAAATCCTCTACTTAACCTTCCTTTTTGAGCATCATATTAATTTTGTGTTTTTCAATATTTTCCCTTGTAGAGAAAATCAGACGAGAAAATGAACAATTACAAGCCGACTACTTGGAGCGCTTAGAAATAGCAGAACGTAAGCTTGCCGAATCTGCTAATCAAGCTCCACAAAATAATGTATGTACAACGGCAGCTCAAAATAATGTAATATCAAATGGTAAGTTCATTGCTATTATTCTACGGAATTTTTGAAATCTGAGTGAAAGTTATGTAAATTGGATAATACTAACGATGTAGCTACGTATTTGAGAAGTAGTAATCTTATCAAGTCCGAATTTCACTTCAACAGCAATGTTCATTCTGCTCACTTATCATACTCCTAAAAAATACATTCAAGCATGTGCTCTATGCCCTAATTTTATTTACTTTCAGGCAAATCAGAATGTTGTACAAATAACACAAAGGAAGTGGTTGAATTAAGTGATGATGACCTTGAGGAAGATGCCGACGTTTTTAAATCTCCGCAAAAGAAGAAAGTTAAAATTGCATCCCCAACTGAAATAATGGTGAGTAAATTTTTAGTCGGCTTACTTAGTGTACATAGTAAACAGTCATTGCAACCGACATGGCTAGGAACAGAATTTTTTCTCATCAACCTTCTTCAGTCTGGCCCATTTGCATTTAATTAACTTTACAAACCTTCTCTCTTGTCACTCTGTTTTTAAGCAGGTTTTAATGCAGTCCAGGAGTAAAAAAAAAAAAAAAAATTGTTGTTGTTTTTGTGATGGAACAAAACAAGTTAGAAGCACCAACATCGGTGTCCCCGCCAATTAAGTTTATGCACTTTTAGACTCCGGCAAAAGATCTGCCATCTGGATTCTTGAATTTATTTTGAATGATAAATCAGAAGCAGCTAATCTACTATTGTCAAAAAAAAAAAAAAAAAAAACTGTTTGGCATCGACTTTCCCTATCCTATCAGGATGGCCTTTAAAATTAACCACTCCAAGTATTTTTCATGTAAATCCAAATAGTACCCATTGTAAAAAAAGGTATCCATTAAACATCATGAATCTTTCTAAAGTACTTCTCTAGCTCTGTTGCTCATTAGACAACCCTCATTCAAGCGTTAGGTAAATTTTAGTCATTTTCCATTTTTTCTTTTTCTTTTTTTTCCAATTATATTTCCTCGTAGTGTGACAAGCAATGTTTGAATGATACAAGTGGGACGAATCAAGAAAGCAAAGAAGATTCTGCTGCAGCTGCGTTCAATGCTGTTCAAAATCAATGTGCAGATGAGGTTTCAGTTCCTAAACCCAAGTTTACCAGGTTGTACTCACAGCTTAAGTATACTTTTACACTTAATTCATATTCATTTGTAAGAAGGGGGAAAATAAGAGGAATTAAGGAGGGTGCCAGAAGAAGGGCTCATAAAATATGGGCGAGTTCTCTTCTCCAATCAGTCTTATTTCGAAAAAGAGGTATTAGCACGCTCATCCTAGCCGCTGCTTGTCCAGACTGCAAATGCACAGAGAAAGGAACTTACCTGTCTTCCATGGGCCCTTCTCTTGGAGCCCTCCTCAGTTGCTAGCTTATTGTAGCTGCCTTAAATTCTAGACTCCAAAGAGGAATTGGGCCGGGTATCGGTAGTATTCCCAATATCCAGCTCTGCCTGGTTACGATTATTGCGGGTATCCATATCCGGACGGATAATCGCACTATCGGATTTATAAACCCGCTGGATAGTGCTTTTTCGCCTGTGCAAAGCTCAATAAATTTTTGGTGAAATTTAGGCTAATTTTTGCGCTTTTCGGCGCACCTTGACTAGTCATGATAATTTTTCCAATTTTTGAAGCTTATTATTATTAGAATTAAGTACTTTTTCCGCAAATTAACCTGATTACAGTGTGATCCTTAAGTCTGCATATCCCTTTTTCAAAGATGAAGATGCAGGTGGAAGGGGGAAAAAAACATTGCCACTAACATGTGCATGAGTTCCCTGTTGGTAATAATAATAATAACAATAATTTATTTATTCTTATTGTAAATTTTTCTTAGAACAAATATAACAAAGTCAAGGTAGAGAAGGTATAAAACAAATAATACAAAGTCCAGGTAGAGAGGTAGCAGGGTCTGGTAATAGGTTTTCTTACAAAAGGTCGATATCCGTATCGGGTGACATGAAAAATCATTTCCGCCCGACTCTACTAAAAAGACAGAGAGGCAAACTTTTTGATGCTTTCAATTTTTCATTTAACTTTAAAATAAAGGTCAATCATATGTTCTTAAATATCCTATTTATTGGAAAGGTATTAAATATCTTATTTATTAGAAAGGTACTATCAAACGTGGTTAAGAAAAATTCCCCCAGAAAGTTGCTGAACTCTGCAAAAACATATTAGTTTAGCAATTTCTGCATAATTTGACAATTTTCCCACAGCAATTTTTTTTTAAAAGATTTTAAGCTTAAACTTTGCATCTACAAAACGTATATGAGGCAGTGGCGTGGCGTGATTTGCGATGTATCGATTGATCTGCCATTTAAACCTATGGAAAAGGATTGATAAACCGGGTGTTCGCAGCAAACACCTTAATGATCGATTCTTTACCATAGCTTCAGATGGGGGAGTATCGATATATCGCAAAGCACGCCACGCCACTGATATAAGGCATAAAAGGCCATGAGGTATTGAGGCATTAATTTCGCAAAAATTATTAAAAATCTTCTCTTTTGCACGATTTTAAATTTTTCTGCCAAAGAATGTGTGTAAAAAATTTAAAGATAAAGAAGAAGATAAATGTTTACTTTGAAAGATAGAAGCTCAGTGAGTAAGTTTGCTCAAAGATTTCTGTGTAGTGAAAAATTTAAATAGTGTAATGAACCCAGAGAACACAGAGCAGTGCAGACGCAGTGCTCTGTAGAACACAGAGCATGTTTAAATAATAATTACTCTTTAATTTACAGACCTCCAAAAATTTATTTTGGTACCCGGACCCACAAGCAGATAGAGCAAATTATAAAAGAACTGAAGAAAACAGCGTACAAAGACACCAGGTATTTTTTTTAGTCATTTCCCGTCATAAAAATCAATTGAGTGAGTGGGCGAAAAAAGTGGAATTAAAGACCTTCTCTGAAACAACTTGATTTTTGGTTTTTTTTCTGTGATTTCAGTCTCTTAACTCCTTTTCCTTGGATTTCTCTTGTCATAGTGTTGGTAGATGAAATCTATCTACACTTAAACTTTACTTAAACTGTTACTGACCTCATCTAAAAAACTCAAAAAGAAAAGGAGTTGTAATATATTTTGAATTGATATAACACACAAGCTACTATGCAAATTTATTCTCAACACCCTCGGTTTAGAATCTAGTGCATAATACATTTTTTTTCTCTTTTTTTTCTTTTTTTTTTTTTGAAAAAAGTCGCATTATACCTAATTGAAATTTAAATAAAAAAATCTTTCATGAAAAATCTTAAATGGTTTTATTTTTACTATTTCTTCTCTAGAATGACTATTCTATCAAGTAGAGAACACACTTGTATCAATAATATGGACACAGAGTTCCAGATGAGGAAGAAGCAAAGACAGTGGAGGAATAAAACGGAACTTTGTAAAGATTTGCTGGATCCAAGACAGGTAAAAGTCAAAATGTTTCTCCAACACAAGTTCTTCTTCCGTACCTCAGTAGACGACAATTTTGTTTGCGTAAAAAATTAAGATATAATCTGACCTGTTCATGACAAACTCAATTTATCAAACTGATTTAAAATCTTTTTATATATATATATATAAAGTCGCTTTATAACGCACTCTGGCGTTCTACGACACCCAAACGCCACATATGCCTGTCTTCTCAGAGGTCATCGGGCAACTGACACCGCAACATCTCTTCGTCAATGCCCTGCCGCCAACCCTTTACGGGACGTCCCCGTCGCCTCTTCCCAGGTTCCCAGGTTTAAAATCTTTTTACTAGTTTAAATGAACTCTTGTTTAAAAAAAATCTGTTTTATTAGTGTCTTTGAATTGAGTTTTTTCTTTTCATAAAGGATTAGTCAGTTAAACCCATTCTCCTCATTTGACGAGTATACTTGCCAGCAAGGGCCTCAGACATATCTCAATTGACAAGTTAATTCGTGGCATCTATCGGCGTTGCTATGCGATTTTTTTGGCAGTGTTTTTTAACTTTTCCGATAGATGGCATCTCAAGCGTTGGAACGCCGAAAATGGCGCGAATTAACTTGTCAGCTGAGATAATGTCCTAGGCGCCCACTGACGAGTAAACCTGTCATGTGAGGCGGATGGGTTAAAGCGGCAATTTTTTTGGAGAGCAATAGGATTGTAAGTAATTCCCAAAAATATCTTGTTTAAGTTTATGGGGAGCTGCTGCTTTATTTTTGAGAATCTTGGTTGAGATGAGTCCAGTGTGGGCAAAGAAATCAGGACCATGAAAAGAGTTGTAAATATCGGTTAAACAATACAATGCCATAAAGTAAACTTACTCTCGGCTCGCTAAATTATTGTGAATTACAGCTCCCCTCTAGATTTAAAAGTAACCACATAGTAAGAATTGGAGAGTCATGATTAGACTGTATTCAGAAAAAGGATGTGATCTAGATTCCTGTTTTGGTTTCAAGTTTACAAGATCACCTTGCCTCATGCTAAAATCAAGATGCTGTTCTCCTCCTCAGTAATATCAACTTGTGACAGTTGCCGAGGGCATCTTAAACTGCCACTTATAAATTCAATAGTTTTTGATAATTTTTAATATACTTTCAGTCCAGGTATTTTTTTAAAAACTGTTCGATTTTTTTTTGCTTTCAGGGTATGGGATGCATGTACAAAGTAAATGTCGAAAGGATTAACGCTCATCGTAAACTTGAAAACGACTATAGTTTCCCAAATGTTTGGGATATTGAAGACTTCGTTAATCTGGGCAAAGCAAAAAAAGCATGTCCTTATTTTGCAGCTCGAGACATAGCAGTCACAGCAGATATAATTTTCTGTCCGTACAATTACCTGATCCATCCATTAATCCGGAAAAGTGTAAGTCTTTATGGAATGTTTCATCAATGAAAATTAATCTAGGAACCATCAGGTTTGAGCTCACCAAGTACCGTATTTACCCGCTTATCGTAGGCATCTTTTTTTCAAAATTTTAGCTCTCAAATTGAGGGTGTGTATGATATGCGGATATTGCCCCAAGGCAATACCGGAATTTTTTTCTTAAAGGACTCCAAAATATAGGGGGCGTACAATACATGGGTAAGTTCGGTACAAGAAGTACTTATGAAACTCATGATAGTGAAACAAAATATTAATCATCACAAGTGTGCGTAAACTCAAATAGGTTAGGTTTCTTAATCTTGGAGCAGACAATTGAGGCACTGGATGCAAAAAGGGCACCTCTCGGTTGCAGCGTTTCAGAGTCTCCTCTAATATTTTATTCGTTGTGAGGAAAGTGAATGCATCCATTTCACTAAGAATTTTACTGAATATTCCTCATGATTTTACAATATTCTATGAAGAGAATTCTGGAAAAATCACCCATTAAATTCTTCTCCAAGGGATTAATTAGCAACAGAGATTCTGAAACAGTGCCCTTTTTGCATCCTGTGCCTCAATTGCCTTAAGGAGGAAGCTTGGCGTAGAGCGCAGCGCTTTACCCTCAATCTAGGAATTATGTTAGATATCTCAAGTCTGCTGATTTATAATGAATATTATCAGTTAGTCGGATTGTTATATTTTATTTGTATGTGGGATATGCACAACTTGCGTTTTCAAATCATTTTTTTTAGATAACCATTTGACTTAGTTTTACCTGGTTTCTTTTGACTTTTCAGATGGAAATCAATTTAAAAGGAGAAATAATGATTTTGGATGAAGCTCACAACATAGAAGATGTTTGTAGAGACAGTGCCAGTCTCACTGTTCATTTAAACGATCTGACTAGCTTCATGCAAGAATGTGAGAAAGCAGCTGAATCTGGCAACTTTCCAGAAGAGCATGCTCAAATGGTAGAGCAGAAAACTTTTCTTCAATTTAGACAACTTTTGCATTTGATTCTGATGTCCATTTCTATTAAGGTTGACTTTTTTGGTTCAGATACCTCTCAGAGAGAGGTGGACTGTCTAGGAAGTTGATTAGATAATGCTTTCGAAGCATTTTTTAAGGGGAGTGAAATCCCCATGTAATGTGATGTGTACTCCTAATTATAGGGAAAATTTCTCCTATTACGATCTTTTTTTTTCCCCCTTTCTCTTTTACAATTAATGTAGCAATTTAGAAGAGAAAACATCTTCATAGTTATCAGTCCCAGTTTTTGCCTATCTTTTCTCCTTTTTTCAAGCAGAATCAACCTAACCAAATCTAAAGTTGCCTAATTTCATCTCATGTTTTATTTCTTCAACCCAAGATTAAGGTACGTTCTGACTAGAAATATTGTGAAGATGTATATTCAATAAAACTCATGGAAAATTCACAGAAAATTTCAAGATGTTATGTCATCTAGATCAATGTTAAAAGAATAAAACATGAATAATAATTAAGCACTGTGAAATGCAGTTAGATCGATTCTGATTAAATGTGTTCAGTTTAGGGCTGTGCCAATAGTGAATTTTCCAAACGAAGCGAATAGCGAATAATTTCGGCAACTATTCGTAGCTGTGAATAATTTAAGTCATTATTCACAGCTTCAAATAGTAAAACAAATAATTTGAAATGACTTTTTTAAGAGCGAAAATTCGCGAATATTACAAAAGTCAACAAAAAAATGTGATTTATTGTTTTAAGAATTTTCCATTTGCTCATACACCTGCACAGAAAACAATGAAATGCCATTATAGTAGCCGAGGCTATTAAGAATGTGTTTGAAGATCCCTGGATGCTGGCTTGACTGTCCCTGCAGTTACGTATGCATTCCGAGAATTTGAAGTTAACTGTGCGGGCAGTCAAGCTAGTATCGAAGGATCACCAGACACATTTTAGTATTTTATTTGTTTTGGTGTAATGAAAATGTGTTTATGAACTTTTTTCTCTATTTCAGACATTTCTGTGTCTTTCAATCCTTAATTTGGGCGCTTTGCCTATTCCCCCAATCGCAATTGCGCTCGCTGTTAGTAAACTCGGCAAAGTCGGTGAAGATCAAAGGAGATCCGACGTTTGCAATGTCTCGGGTGGAAGCGGAAGCCTTGCGCAGGTCCTCGCAACGTTTCACGATTGCTACTCGGAAATTCGTTATTTTTGATGGCACTAATATTTGAAAATTCTTCCTTGTGACTGCGCGAATATTTGAAAATGTCAGTTCAAAAAGTCACTATTTGCAACAGCGCAATTATTCGCAATTTTGCAAATAGTGCGCGAGGCAGACAAAGCAAATATTTGTAGCGCGAATAGTCGGAATTGCGAATATTCACACAGCCCTAGTTCAGTTGTCGACAGTCACATTGTAGGGACTTTTTTAAGTCCATAATCTTGAAATATGCAAAAATGACTAATCTCCAGTTTTTTTGCATGCTGCCATCTAATCTTAACTATATTCTGGGGTTAATTTCATGAAGTTTAACCATCTAAAATTCTAATATTTTTATATTGCTTCTCAAAGGACTATTTCAGCTATAGAAGAAACTGTGGTTTTACGGAAAAATCTTTAGAAATTTTTAAAGCATATCCTATAGATAATTTCGAAACAGTTTGGTGACTTGTAAAGTAAAACATGAAAGGATTAAGATAAGGATGCTTGTGACTTGATGCTTTTATTGATTCAACTGTTTCAGAGATCTTTTGTTAAACTGCTTGTGGACTGGATCAAAGATAACACGGAGAAAGTGCAACACTTGGATGACTTCAATAGTGGTCATGCAGTGTGGAATGGAACACAAATTCTAGCCAGCTTCGAAAATGCTGGAATAACCCTAGAAGAATTTGATCTTTTTAGAGTAAGTTCTGCATTCGTTTAAATTTGCATTTTTTATTTTATTCTGCCATACTTAACCCCTCAGTAGAGAGCAAAAAGTGTTCTCACGGTCACTGATTCAAATGAGATTGGCCCTCATCTAATGGCCGTTAATTTTTTACATTTTATCAATATTGTCTTACTAGAAGAAAATATCTTATGAACAGACGGATTTTTCCTGAATTAGTCAAACAGTATTTCTTGTCGCCTAATTTTCTCTCCTGTCCTATTTTTTTATCCGAAAACTGAACTATTTGACGCCTTTTAACCAGGGGTCTAGAAAGTTCCATGTCTTCCCCTAAATTGAATTGGTCTTCACCCACATTCGATCAGCCTTTCCCCATTTTTAACCAAATTTCATGATCGTTTTCCCATGAAGACAAAAGACTTTCACCCAATAAGTTGAACTTTTTCATTACTAAAACAGTCCCCTTAGAGCTTCCCCTTCTTGTCCTGTTTTCATGGGGGTCCTCTTGTTTTCCTGTTTTCCTGAGGCTTCTCTTATTTCACGCGAAAGGCCCTTGACTGGCCCAATTCACCTATCAATCAATCTTAAGTATTATTGAATGTCCTTTGAATGATCATTTTCACTTTTAATTTCCTTTGTCTTTTCTTCATTTCAGGCCAGTGCAAACGAAATTAACAAACCTATCGATCCTAAAGAGGTTAATCCTAGCCACATCTCTGTGTCATCAACTAGCAAAAGTATTTCTGACGGACTATCAGAAACACTGCCTTATATTTTTAATGAAGTAACCAGAAACTCTTTCCGTGTACTTTTAGATAAGAAGATGGATTCAAACTTTTCAAATGAATTTGAGGTACAATGAAACTTTTTTTCTTTACTTAGTTGTAGCAGCCGACGAAGGAACTTAACACCATTCCAAGGTTGCCAAGTTGACTAGGGCTGTGCAAACAGTGAATTTTCCAAATGAAGCGAAAATAGCGAATAATTTAAGTAAATTATTAACAACTACAAATAGTAAAAGGAATAATTTAAAATGACTTTTTTAAGTGTGAAAATTCGCAAATATCACAAAAATCGATAAATAAGTGTGATTAATTTTTTTAAAAATTTTCCATTTGCTCATACATCTGCACAGAAAACAATGAAATGCTATGATAGTAGCTTAGGCTGTTATGAATGTGTGTGAAGATCCCTGGATGCTGGCTTGACTGTTCCTGCAGTTATGTATGCATCCTCAGGATTTGAAGGTAATTCCGTGGGCAGTCAAGCTATTATCTGAGGATCACCAGACACATTTTTAGTTTTTTTTTTTTTTTTCTCTCTGGTGTTAATGAAAATGTGTTTATAAACTATTTCCTCTTTCTGTCTTGGTTATTTAACTTAATGTGGTGCTCTTGGAGCAACCAAGATACGCAGGCCAATGGCAATAATGCGCGCTGTTTGTGAACTCGGCAAAGTCGGTATAAATCAAAGGCGATCAGCCATTTTCGATGTCTTGGGTGGAAGCCTTGTGCAGATCCTTGCAACGTTTGACGATTGCCTTTCGGAAATTCATTATTTTTGACGGCGCGAACATTTTAAAATGTAGGTTTACAAATTCACCATTCGCGATGGCGGGTATATTCGCAATTTGCAAATAGTGCAGGAGTCAGACGAAGCGAATATTTGCACAGACCTCAAATTGACGCAAACATTTAGATTTTTCATGAGATTATCACTTCCCAATTTCTGTTCAAAATTTTGCTGATTTTCGCCTGTACTTAATCCAGAAAAAAATGAGTGAAATTTCGATTAAAAATGCCTGAAGGCTTTCTGGTAAGATAACAATTTATTGCAATTATGCAGTGTTGAAGTGAAGATACATTCTTTTGACTAAGAAACAACAAATTGTGCGATTTTGGGTAATTTGCACTTTAAAATTTCCAATTAGTTTCATATTTTGCAGAAGTCCAAATTCTTAATATTGCTAAGCATTTGCCAACCTTATGTTATCTTTCTTTCCCTCGGCAGGAGCCAGAGGCCGATTCTTCAGGGTGGGTTGGTAGGGCAGAACGTAGGGGCAGAAACTTCACGACAAGCTGGAAGTATAGCTTGAACATATACTGTTTGCATCCAGCAGTAGCGTTTAAAGAAATAAATGAAAGTCTGCGCTCAGTGATTTTAACATCTGGTACACTGTCGCCCATTGAATCTTTCCAGTCAGAACTTGGTGCTGAATTTCCAATTAGATTAGAGGCGGCTCATGTCATTGACAAATCTCAGGTATAGTTATTTGATTCTCCACTAGTATCTGTTGTTTCATGTCTTATAGTTTTTTCCCATCTCGTCAAAATCCTTACTTTGTATTTTTTTTTTTTCTAAATACTGTCATTGCTGTGAGCTTTTATTCAATATAATAATAATTTCAATGGTGACAAGGAAAAAACTACTTTTTGCAAAAATCTAGGGAAATATTGTAGATCAAATGCCGTTACACCAATATTTTGAATCAAACCTTGGCTCTTTGATTACACATTGAACATGGTTTTCAGCTGGTCTGTTTTCTCTCTAAAAAGAAATTACATAGAAATCAGAAAACTTCAAACATTTTGAAACCTGAGATGCTTGCTGCACGGTACGTCTATTACAGTTTGAATTAAATTCCTTGCTCTATAATAAAACTCTGCTCGTGTAGTATGAAATGTGCAGGATTTTTTTTTTTTTTTTTTGCATTTTTTTTGTTGATTTCAAAAATGAATCTCTTTATTTGACAATATCAATATTTACTTGTCCATTTGCTAGATAAGCCCTAAATTTCAATATTTTATCTGATTTAAGGTTTGGATTGGAGCTCTAAGCTGTGGTCCCCGGAGAATTCAATTGGAAAGTACGTATCAGAAAACTGCAACATATGAATTTCAAGATGAATTAGGAAGAGTCATTCTAGAAGTATGTAAGAAAGTACCCTTTGGCGTCCTTTGCTTCTTGTCTTCCTACACACTTCTCGAGAAGCTAGTTAACAGGTAATTTAAGTAAATCCTTACTTGGTATTAGGGAACATGTATGTCCCTGAAAGAACTAAAACGTGCAATGATAAGGATGCAAAGGATAAGTGTATGAGCTCACTTGAAAATTACTGGAGTCCATGCCAAATAAGTTTATGCACTTTTAAACCACGACAGAAGATCCCCACATCTTGATCCTAGCATTTACTCTCCATAATAAACTGACGTCAGGCGATCTTCTGTCGCAGTCTAAAAAGTTTGTAAATTTATTTGGTGTTAACTCTAGTTCATATGTAAATGGGCCAGTTGCGCTGGTCACAGAATTGTGTTTTGATGCTTGATTCTTGTAGATTAGCCGAAAATAATGAGATCTGTCCAAACCGCAACTTTCTACGTTCAATATTAACCGAGATATGGCTCTTTGAAAGGACAGGTTTTTGACATCATCCACCGCAGCAGTGACACCCTTTGTTTCTTCCTCTTTTGTTCGTTCAGTGATGCAGAGGGCGCAACGCGAAACTTCAACGGCATTAAACATGAACAGACTGAGGTGAACTGACTGACCGCCTAATCTCTTTGCAGCGAGTGCGTTATCTCCTGATAAGATGATCTTTAAAGTGTGAATCCGTCTGCTTCTTGAGTTTGTTTACGTTTAACATCGTTGAAGTTTCGCGTTGCGCCCTCTGCATTACTGATCAAACAAAAGAGAAAGAAACCAAAAGTGTCACTGCCGCGGTGGATGATGTCAAAAACCTGACTTTTTAAAGAGCGATATTTCTCAGTTAATATTGAACGTAGAAAGTTGCGGTTTGGACTGATCTTATTATTTTCAGCTAATCTCCAAGAATCAAGCATCAAAACACGATTCTGTGACCAGCATAACTGGCCCATTCACTAGTACATTGTCTGCTTTTTGCTAATAATAATAAATCCTTCATCCCTTGAATTTAAATCAACTTTCATCCTTTCAGCTCTTCCTCTGTCTTCGCATCCCTCTCTGAAAAATAATGTATGATTATTTCCTTTACATTTCTAATTTCATACAGTTGTCATTGTGTGAATGCTTCAGATGGGAGTCAACTGGATTGCTGGATGAAATTTCCGAGCACAAATATATCTTGATTGAACCCAGAAGGATGGATCAGCTTCAGACTGTGATGGAAAAATTTTATGAGTATGTCCAAGAGAAAGGCGCCCTCTTTTTTGCTGTCTTCAGAGGGAAAGTAAGCGAAGGCATCAACTTTTCAGACAATTATGCCCGGTGTGTCATTTCGGTGAGTATATTTTTAGTAGTTGCGAAGATAAGAATAAGTGGGTTGAGGCATCACTAGTGTTTTCTCGAATCTTTACTACGGGAATAGATAGTAACTATTTGACATCAAGAATACTGATAATCTGAGATGGAAGAAGTTTAAGAAATAGTAGCCCGTAGGAAACTTCTATTCTTAGAATGTTGAAAATGTGGCCAAATAGAAGTAATGAAATAAAATTTACACCATGACTAAAAACCTTTTCTAAGTGTGAGTTATGTGCTGAGTTACATTATTATTTTGCCGCACAAAATTTCATGCCATATTTCATAGTGCTCGCTACAATCAAGGCAATTTTTTCTGATTTCTTCCAAAAACAAATGAAAGGAACTGATTCTGAAAAAGAACGCTCTAAAAAAGACCATGTTCATAATGTTTCTGAGACAGTTGAGCCTAATTTTTAATGAAATACTGCACAATCTCTTCAAATCTAATTTCACTATTTTTTCCCTTGTTACAGGTTGGTATCCCTTATCCCAATTCCAAAGATAATTTGGTGAAATTAAAAAAAGACTTCAATAATGAATTCAGGTTAAAAAATAATGATATTTTGACTGGGGACAAATGGTATCAAATTCAAGCTTACAGGTAATTAGATCATTCTGCTTTAACTAGTATCTTATCTTTATAAATTATATGTAATCAATAATTTCTTCAACTGAATCGAAGGGTTTTTCAAACTGCAAAGTCTAATTGAACTTAAATGCGTGCTAATCTATCATCAAAACATGTAAAACTCTCTGGTTGATCTGCTAACTGAATGTTTTTGTAAAATCTCTTTGAATAGTTTCTCATTTTTTGCTCCATGGGAAGAAAGATGAAACTTCAACCGTCATTTTAATCTCAGGATACTAATGTAATAATGTAATTTTCATATTTCTTTTCTTTCCCAGGGCGCTGAATCAAGCTTTGGGTCGGTGTATCAGGCATAAAAACGATTGGGGTGCTATCTTGTTAATTGATCACCGATTTTCAAGGAAGCAGAATGTAGAAGGTCTATCAAAATGGATCAAAAATATGGTAAGGAAGTGCAAGTATCTCATTCTATAACTTTTTAGCAGAAAATGCATCACAATTTAGGCATAGAGCTAGAAAAAGTCAAAGATGCGTTCTGAAGAAGGAGTAATTCCTTTGAGATTGTCCAGTCTGCCAAGCAAAAAGTTCATCTGCTCTCCAGCATAACTAACCCTCGTAACTTTTGAACCCTAGTCAAAGGAAATGAAGGATTTCATATTGTATAAAATCAGTATTTGGATGTAGGTATTTATGCCAAAAAGGTGTACGTGAAAATAAGTAAAATCAAAAGGAAAAATGTAGCATGCAAACTCTATGCACATACTTTCTTATGATTTAATTCATTCTCACATAGTTCTTTTGGGAACAAATCAAGTCTTTTTCGTGTATTTGTCAATCATGTCAATTTTGCTTCATTTTAATCCTTCATTTTTGTTCGTTCAACAGATTGGTTACTACCCTGAATGGAATGGGATGATTCAAAGTATTACAAATTTTACAGATGCTCAGATCAAAAGGACATCTGTCAATTCGGAAACTAGTACAGAAATCGTCTGTGTTGAGTAAGGTTGTTACTATTCTTTTTCCCTCACTCGTTCAGTATTCCCTATAGGGTTTGCGTCAATTTCTGTCAATGGCTGTGCCAATATTCGAAGAACAAATTTCTCAATCCATTCCAAGTTGATTCAATGATTTTCTCCTTAATTTTTAATCATTAAAATTCTTACTCTAGAATTCCAAACTGGAGTATACTGAGTGTACAACTAGGATCTACTGTAGATGTATCTTGAATTTCTCTATTTTCAGTAACCATATTTGCCCAATTTCAAGGAGTACATAATGTCGATCACATTTCAACTGATTTTATCAACTTTTTTATTTCATACAGATTTGTTTTCAAAGGGAAAATATTTTGAAAAACCTCAGAAAATTTGCTATCCATTCATAAGCTCTTTTTCTTCTTGCTGTGGGAATGCAAATTCTTTACTTGTTTTGTATTACCTTCAGCAATACTGTTAGTCTATTTTGGAAATGGAAAATTCCATTAGAACTCATGAAATCTCTGCTACATTTTGTTAAAAACGATAAGAGATAAAAATTTCTCAAATTAGAAGGCTGCAGAAATTTGGGGTTGGCAGGGCGGGGGGATGTTTTGCCGCTGTGAACTGTATTCTAGCCCAAAAAATCCTCAGACTTAGTCTTGAATGATACTTTATCGTGAGTTGCTCTTGCATTTCATAATATTGTAATTTGTGATGCGAGGAGTATTTTTTATTCCTCATCATTCTTCGTAAATTATTTTACAGTTCCAGTTAAATTAGTGGCATTTTGAATTTCAACATCGAGTAGTTATCTAAAAATACATAATTCTAATTCTATGATTTTTTATACCTGCTGTTATCAGAATTCTGAGAATCAACAAAATGTATGTACTAGTGTGTTCTTGAAATTTCCATGAAGAAGGTGTGAATTAATGGACTTGTTTTCTTTGTGAGCTGTTAGAGTCAGTAGTATTCAACTCAAATGCTGTATAAGGTTAAGATGTTCAGAGATGTTTATTTTTTTCAATAGGATCTTCATTATTTTTTTTTATATTCAATGATTTCATTTTTTTATGAACATGTCAAGAAGTGAAAATTCCAAATATTTTCCATTATTTATGCAAACATTTTGATTCTCTCCTCTTCCTCCTTTTTTTCTTGTCTTTGAGTAAGTACATTACCATCATTCTTGAAAATTCACAAAAATAGTACCTATTTGAATGCCCTCAATTTTATTCTTTTTCTAGTCCTGTTTGAACCATATCTGAGTAATTTTTGGTCACGCACTAAATGCTTATTTTGTTTGTTAATACGTGTGTTTAGGTATCTATAATTATTATCCCCTTGTTATTTTTTCCAAGGAGAGAGGGTGGACGAGACAACAAAATTCTAATTTTAAAAAAACACCGATTATCTTGCTTCAGAAAGTTATCTGAAGAAATTTTCATTTTTTCAAATTAGGCGCATTTTTTGTAATGTCCGATATCTCCGAAAGAGAGCGCTGCGTGCAAGCTTATGATTTTGAGGTTATGTTGTTGTTTTTGTCCTCGGTCCGAATCCGAACGTGTCAGTGAAAATTTCGCCAATTTCATTTCCCATATTATCAGTACATTATTCGAGCCGTACTCTTGAGTGAATAAAATTATCTCTTATACTCTGGTGCTCATAAAAACCACCAATGGACTTCTTGTAATGGACATCTATCTCTAAATGTGGAGATGTCTCCTAACCGATCAGTTGATTTGAAAGTGTAACATTTTCTTCTCGTACTTTATATGTTGTAGTCTCTCCTTTGTGTGCAGTAAAAGTCTTGCCCTTGCAGTGTAATTCCTAACAACATTTCAACATTGTGTACCAAAAATGAAGTGCCACTATGAAGTATTGGGAATAGCTCAGAATGCCAATGACGAAGAAATTAAAAAAGCATACAGGAAACTAGCTTTAAAGTGGCATCCTGATAAAAATCTAGAAAATCCTGAGGAAGCTAAAGAACAATTTCTGCTGGTGCAACAAGCGTTTGAATTGTTAAGTGACCCCCATGAGAGAGCATGGTATGACAAAAGACGCGACGAAATCTTGCGGGGACATTCCAAAGATGGCTATGTTGATAATTCTCTGGATCTGTTTCAGTTCTTCAATCCCTGTGCATTTAAAGGTTATGGAGATGATGAGAAAGGATTCTATACAGTATTCAGGAATGTGTTCGCTACGATTGCCAAGGAAGAAGTGGAATTTAGTCGAGATTTCAGAGCCCCTGACTTTGGTAAATCGGACAGTTCATATGATGAAGTTGTTCATCCATTCTATTGTTTCTGGCAGAGTTTTGTAACCAAAAAATCATTCAGTTGGCTTGACCCTTACGATTCCAAAGATGCTCCAAACAGAGCTGTGTTGAGGATGATTGATAAAGAAAACAAGAAAGTCAGAGATAAAGCCCGCAAACAACGAACTGAAGAAGTGCGAGCTCTTGTAGCGTTTGTCAGGAAACGAGATAAACGTGTCCAAGCGCAGTTAGAAATTACGAAGATGAAAGCTGAAGAAAACAAGAAAAAAATGGAAGAGCACCGTCTGAAAAAAATCAAAGAGCAAAACAAAGCTTTGTTGAATTATAAAGAATCTGAATGGAGCAAACTCTCTGAGCATGAACTTAAAAATATTGAAGCCACGGTGAATTCAGAATTCGGTGCTGATAGTGCTACCTGTTCTTCGGATAGTGAAGACGAAACAAATATCCGGAACCTCTACTGTTCAGCATGCAATAAGTATTTCAAGTCAATAAAGCAATTTATGAACCATGAGCAGTCTAAGAAGCACAAAGAGAAAGTAGACAGGTACAAAATTTGTATTAAAACTACACCGGTTGAAGATGATCATGACTCTGACATTAATGAAAGGAAGAAAGTGACAAAGAAGAGTAAACTTAAGCTTGTAGACGGAATTTCGTCAGAGTCTGATTCAGACCATGACCAATTTGAAAAAAGAAAAAAAGCGACAAGAAGGAGCAAACGCGAGCATTTGGACAGTGCATCTGACTCGGAATCTCTGAGTGAAGCAACTGATGAGGATGGGGATCCAATTGGAATGCCCCCGGTGATAAAAAGTAGCCGTTCAACAATAGAAATGAAATCTGCAGGAACCATGACTGAGAAACTTCTCAAAAGTTCCTCTGCCCAAACAGAAAAGAAATCGCAGCACTCTCAAAAAACAATTAGTCCCAGAAAGAAGCAAGCACCGATTTCTCCTCACAACCACAGTTATGAAGAAATTCAGCCTCAAAGTAGTTTTCAGTCAGAAGATCCACCTTCCTCGTATGCAAGTGCTATTACAGATTCCTTCACCAGCAACGCTTTCATAAGTTCTGGTACCTCAGAAAGTATAGAAATTTCATCTATTGAATTGGATGGATCAAAATCTGCCCCTTTGAATGGTTGCAGTATCAACAAATCCACATGTGATGACCACTGCGAGTCAAAACCCAATAGCCATAGCACTGATGAATATTCCCTCATAACAGAAACTAGTCTCTCTGCCTCAACCATCAATGGAACTGTTCGTGAACAAGAGTCGCACGACAGACACCGTGAAGAATTCGCCTGCAAGGTCTCTGATGATGCTGGGGCAGAAACAAAATCTCATGGAGAAAAAATTTCTTCGATGACAAAGAAAAAGCAGAAGAAATCTAAAACAATGGACTCCGAAACTGAAAAAATAGATAAGCCTCTAAGTGAGCTATTAGCAGAATTAAACATGTCTGGTTTGAGTAAGAAACAGCGCAGAAAGTTGGAGCAACAAGATTGTTTATTGGAACTTTTGGATGATAGTGACGATGCTGTTTGTCCACTCGTTAAAAAGAATTCCAAAAAGAAAAGTGCGTCGAAGAAGAATAGAAAATTTGCCTGTGATGATGATGAAAATGAAAAGACGATGTCTGAAAATACCTCTAGCAAAAGTTTTAAAACGGCCTCTTCTGGACCTGATACATTAACCCACACTGACACTGCCGTACCCGATGATCTTTCAACAAAAATTACTCCAGGGAGTGACAGTAGCCTCCACCAATGTCTAGGATGCAATACGAGCTTCAAATCTAAGAATAAACTTTTTGACCATTTGCGGCAAACCAAACATGCTCAGCCCCTTTCGCAAGAAATTAGAAATGTTGGTAAAGCTAGTAAAGCTAAATCTAAGAAACAGCGGTGAATTGACTTAAACTCTTTTATGATTAAAACTCTTCTCAGCTCTCAATGTCTTTCCTTAGAAGTTGTATGTTTGCCCAGTGAGTACTTATTTTGTTTTGTGATAAGCAGGAAGGCTAAGCTGATAAATGAAATCTTCCAAACTAATCATTAGCCAATCTGAACACAGAAGCTACAAAAGCAATATTCAATGGGCTGATCCCTATGTAGCACAAATCAAAACCTTCAAAAGGTTGCCTCAGTAAGATTTACTGCATTAGCGAGATGAGAGGTCGTTGATAGTGATTATTTTCTCTCCCTCTCTCTCTCCCCTTTTTACATCAATTAAAATGGTTCTCCTAAGTTTTAATTATCATCCTTCAAAAGATACAAAACAGTATCACCTCTTTGTTAACAGCAATATCGATGGCCAAAGTGCAAAACCCTGTCTCTTCGTTTGCAACATTGCAGACTTCCCGTCGCAATTTTTTTTTGTTTTTTTTTTTTTGGAAAACTAGTCACTGTAATTTCTTAAAACATGTTGCCTTGTTTCTCTTTGAAAAAATATATTAGTAGCGGAAATTTTGAAACTCCGCAATTGAGAGACGTGATTTTGCACTTTGGCCATCGATTTTAGGTGTCTATTATGTTAAACATAGAGATTAAACTCCGATTTTTATGAACAGTTTTGCAAAGAAAATAATACAGAAATGGTGTAACTTAAAAAAGAATGAACAAATAGTATATCTAAAAGTTATGTCAAAAGAAGTCGTTCATACGATTTACTTAACACATATTTTATCTACCTTTTTATTTATGTGAATACATCATCAAAGTTAAGATGATTGATTTAAAACTATTGCTCTTTAATCGTTTATAGAAGTGCCTTTTTCCGTTTAATATTTTGGCTCTTATATTTTCTCCGTAGAAAATGGTTTTCTTTTCTTTTCATCAGAAATCTATAATTGGAAATCTAATAATTTTTTTTACTTTATGAAAAATTGTTATCTTAAAAAAAATTCTAATTAAAAAAATTGAATGCATGGTGTGTCTGGTTAAACAAAACAGATTTTTGAAATTCATCAATAGACCGATCAGATTCTCTTCTTGTAATTTATAAGATATTACCAACTTAGCTTGTACCAAATTTTCTTAATGCAAAATAAATCAATTTAATTGGACAAATGTTTACATTTTTTAAAAAGAGAGGATACATTGTATGTTCATCACTAAGCAAAATTGCACCAACCTCTTTGAGAGATTTGAAGCATCGCAGCATGCTTCGCCCCAACAGATGTGCAGCTTTTCTATTGATGCACTCTGATTGATGTTGCCTTTCCTGATTTTCCTCAGAGATTTTAAGTCAATACCTTTAAATGCTATGCTTTGGCAGAACCGCGCCTTTTTTCATATACCAGATAGTCTCACACATTCACAAGTATTCAAATGTTTAAGTCTCACACATTCCCAAGTATTCAAATTATCATGTTTTTTACGTATTTTAATCGCAGATGCAAGAGCTAGTTGCACTGATTTTCTTTATTTCCAATAAATGAAAATTTAAGTAAGCATCAGTTATTAGGTCAGAAGTCCAATAGCAACGTCTACAATAGACGTAAGAAATTAAGGTAATAGTTCGTGGTAGTCATTAGTTTTATTCCCATAGACACCCACTCTATCACTGCTATTCAGCCATAATAAGGTGCAAATTGAAGCACTGTAATGTATACTTTCTTATCAAAATTTCTTGTAAAATATAATTCGTGCAACAAAGATTTTTTAAAGTTACACCAACAAGTAAGACTTTTATTTTTTCGATACATAGATTCAAACTACCTCTGGAGTTCCCCTCGTATTAAATATGAAATTTAACTACCTACTACTTTCAAATAAAAAATAATTGACTTTGAATTTTTGACATTTTAAAATGCGGAACTGGTTTAGCTCAAAAACTACTCCTCGCCCATATTTTCCCGAAATTGGCTTAATCTTCTCCTGCTTACAAATGAAGGAGTTCGATTCGATCATAATTTGCCATATACCTCATCCAAAAATTAATAGTTCAAATAATATAGTGGCAGTATTGAAGCCTAAAAAACGTTCAAATTTTACAACTCTTTCAAGATTTGCCTAAGGAGAGGTCAAATGGTCAAATTACCATTCAAGAAAAGGATACCTATCGACGATGAAATTCCCAAACCACGTATCTCGTTCGCGGTGTCTAAAGATTTCCGCTCCTGAATTATTTTTTTCAAAGGAGAATTAGTCAACATCACGCCTTGAAATTTTTTCAAAATTTGCCTCGCACAGAGGAGAAAAATCACGGAGGTTCTAAGAGTGGGCGTTGAGAAGTTCTCCATTTAAAAAATCAAGTAGGACAAGAAGTCAACTCCGTCACAAACCGGAATACGTGGTTTGGTTGATTCATAATCGCTATGTTTAAATCACAGGTACCAAGGAAAAAATCAGTTATCAATTTACACAACGAACTAACTGGCATTATACTTCAACAAATCTGCCATTTTAAACCCTTTTTTTAGGATCCCTTTACGAACATACAAATCGTTACATTTTTTATCTATCTGCTTTAAAACTTAGCCAGGAAGAGCACGTCCTCTTAAAATCCAAAGTAGGTATGGGCGGAGGGGGGGACCTCCCCCCCCCCTTCCGAGATGACTGGGTCGTATCTTAGAGTCTGAATAATTTTTCTTCCTTCCACGCACATGTCAAAGGTGATCCACGAAAACATGGAGTTGGATTTCGGTGTTTACAGGCATCCGCTCCTTCAATTGCTTAGGGGAAAACTACCCACTAATTTTTTGTTTATTTTTTACTGTATGCCTGCGAAAAACCGGAAGCGTTGAAGTGAAGTCATCTCAACGACACCTTCCGGGCTTCCAAAGTATCACAAACGCCATGCGATGTTTTAAAAATTTCGCTGCCTTTCTATTTTTTCTCAGAGAAATTGTTCAATATGAAGCTGCTGTCCGAAAATTTCACTGAATTTTCTTTGCGCTGCCGATCAAATTCAGTGAAATTTTCCAACAGATTCAACCAATAATTCCTCTGTCAAAAAAAAAAAAAAAAAAAAAAAAAAAAAAAAAAAAAAAAAAAAAAAAAAAAAAAAAAAAAAAAAAAAAAAAAAAAAAAATTGCGGCAAAAATTTTGAAACATTGCATGGCGCTTTGTGATACTTCGGACGGAAAGTGACGACAACCGGATATGAATTTTTTAAAATCTCCCGCGGTTTTTGGAGTAACTTGGAATTAACCAATCACAATGTCTGGTTCAGAATTTGCCAGTAAAATTCCCGTCATTTAGAATTTGGAATACAAAAAACTAAAGGGACTCTACAAAAAACAAAACAAAACACGTTCGTGTAACCTAACCTAAGTGGAAGTAAGTTCTTAGTTCATGGAAGTACTTGTAAATTGTGATAAGCCGTGGAAGAAACCATCAAATTAAAACTTTATGCGACAGTGCGTTCTCACATGCCAGTTCTTATCTCGCTCGTGAACTCTAATAATTCTTTTGCATAGCATATACTTTTGAATCAATAGAATGGCCAGTAACATACTCATCAAATGGCGACAAGCTTTTTTCAGTTTTGAACAGCATTTTCGATTAACATTTGGTTTACAGCGATTTCCAGGTAAATGAAAGTCAGTGTCTTGGTCAAAATTTAAACAAACTTCGGATCTTCCCATAACCACCATTAACAAAGGGAAATCTCAGCACTGAATTAGGGGTGTTCAAACAGATTTTTCCGGGAAAGCTTTCGGTATGGTCTTTTACCAAAACTGGTGGCAGTACCGACAGTGGCCATGATATCGTCAACAGCCCGCCTTATTGGAGTTTTGAGAGCTCGTACTCCATGCATTGTTGCCTCGTGTGTCGCTTAGTCAGATTGCCTGGCGCAGCAATGTGTCAAATAGATGTACACATGGCAACAACTCATTTTTGTCAGCTCTGAAAACTCAGATCGCTACCGGTAAGAGCGCCCTTATTGTAAATTTTTCTCGGCGGAATTGTTTTGGTAGCTTACTGACAACTGATATAACAGCCCTACACTGAATATGTTTAGAATACCTACCAACTTTTGTGAGAGTCTTTGGTTCTAATCCACGGAACGCTACTTAACTCTCTGGTTCTTTTACTTTATTAGGTATGTCAAAGACTGTTAGGCAGCGCATAAGCTTATCACTACAACGTCTTAAATTAGCGCTCTGAAAGATATAGCTGGATCTTTTACCGCAAGGTGAGACCATAGATTTTGTGGCTATGAATCTAATCACTTCCGATGCCTTGTGAGAATCGTCGATAAGTTGACTTGTGTAGCTATCGCATAAACATCACCTGTTCTGCATCTTCTCTCATTTAGAATCATCCCTAACATTGAGAGTTTGACAGTGAGCTATCAGCTTATCAAGGGTTAATGCAGAAGGCGAGAGATTTCCTCTTCGGGTGAATGAAAAGAAAGAAATGTTGAAAATTCCACTACGATGTGGAACTTTCATTTTTATAATTTTAGAAGATATCCAATGGTTGCCACTAATTTTTGAGTCGCTACTTATTTGTTATTCAGCCTATGAGTTTTTTCACTTTTGCCCTCACACAGGATTTTACCTCTGTTTTAGATGATTTATCTGTTGCCTTAACAAACAATCACCCAATCCCAACAAATACATTCTCAAGGAAAGAATTTAGCATCAAAGATATCATCGGTGAAGGAATTCTATGGGCTGTCCCTAAAAAAAGACGCACTCTTGAGAGGCGCCAGCTAAGGAGGTTTGGCATGCTGGATCGCCATTTTAAAATGTTGATACCAAAAACAGACATTATAACTTGCAATGTTTGTGGCCATGACTATGAAAGAAGACACCTTTGCGGTAAGAATATCAAAATTTTAATGTTTAAATGTAATTTTTTTTTCAGCAGTTAAGCAGCTTCACCATCTCAAGAGCCACCCATAATGTGGTTCCTTCAACATTAATTTTTTTTAAGAAAAAAGCCGGTAGAAGTCAATCACAGAAGAATTTGGATAGCTGGTTTATTTTTTTGTTTAGAGGCATGAAACTGCAATGGAAAGTTGGTGTATCAGTAGGAGGCAAATTAATTTAATTGCACAGTTCATTCCTGATAGCTCTGTCCACTACAAAATGCCACAATTGTCAGGACCTCAATATTTTAAAATCATCTGAGCATTATTCCATGGTTTTAATTTTTTAAAGATAAATTTTAGAGGTGTCAAACAGCTTCATAACTCAGAGATTTTCATAACTGCAAGTACTCAGTTTCCTTTGATTTCAATTACTCTGTTCCAGCCATTACTTCCAGAAGAAGAGCTGCAGACAATAGAATGATTTAGTGGCTACGTCATAGTTCAATGGGCCTGTTGCAAAGTGTGGGGATTTGCAAATTGATAACTGATTCCAATCGCAAATTTCACAAATAGAATAATGGCGCTACTAAAAAAGCTTGAATTGTCCTCATTAACTTAAAAGAAAGCTGTTGTTGGAACCGACCCATTAGGAGAGGTCACTTTTATGAGGGAATGGATCCAGTACACTCATTACATCACATCTCTTGACAAACCTGGTCTTTTCATCATTTACAATGTATTTTCCCATAAAGAATTGGCAGCCACTTTTCAAATGCAAATATCGAGTCAATCGATGATTTTTTGACCAAAATGGAATTCAGAAATGGATTCCTTGTACATTTAAATGGTTGAAACCTTCATTGGATAAATAAGAACCGACGGAATAAACCCTATTTTTAAGGTAAACTGTAGTCAATGGGCGAATGTTTACATCCATCATAGTGATATCAGAAATGGTAGTTAGTTCAATATTCAGGCATCCTCATGGGTTTTTACCTTTTTGTAACTATTTGAAGGTAAGATTTTTTGTAAATCAATTTTTTAGTACCTTAGGATCATGTTAAACGCTGTAGCAGTATAAATTGTTACTTATTAATTTAGAGCACACTCTGGCAGTCTAACGCTCAAACCATGGATGTCCTGTCAATGCGTGTAAATCATTCTTAACTCTTTAACAAACATCTTAAAATCATTCAGAACGCTCCCTTGTTTTATACATTAATGTTACTTTAAATTCCGGTGTATTTGTAATGTAACAATATGCAGAAAAATGTATTGATAAGCCTGGTAACCAAAGAAGGATCCTACATCTACTTTCCTTGCCCTTATCTTGATCATAACGGTCCCCTCAACTCATCAGTATTGTCAATGGTAAGTTTTTTTTATCACCAATGATTGATACTCTCATTTTGGTGTCTTCAGTGGAACATTGAAGGGTGAAATATCTAGAAATAACAACAAACTCGCTAAATCGAGGTTTCAGCGTTGGACTGCCGGAGCGTGCTCTGAATTAATAAGTAACAATTTATACCGCTGCAGCTTTTAACATTATCCTAAGGTACTACAAAAAAAAAATTTGATTTACAAAAAAAACTTACCTTCAAATAGTGACAAAAAAGTAAAAACTCATGAAAATGGCTGAATATTGAGCTAACCACAATTTCTGTTATCACTATGACAGTTGTAAACAATCGCCTATTGACTACAGTTTTCCTCAAAAATCGGGTTTATCCTGTCGGATCTTATCTATCCAATGAAAGTTTTAACCAATTAACTGTCCAAGGAATCCATTTCTGAATTCCATTTTGGTCAAAAAATCATCGATTGACTCCATATTTGCATTTGAAAAGCAGCTGCCAATTCCCTATGGGAAATTACATTGTTAGTGATGAAAAGACCAGGTTTGTCATGAGATATGATGTAACGAGTGTACCGGATCCGTTCCCGCGCAAAAGTGACAGTTTTGTAAATTCGAATTTTTAGGCGTTTTTAAGTTGATTTTTTGGAGGTGTCCGGTGATCAAAAAACTCCAGGAAAATTCCGGTGATATCAGGAGCCTTAGTTCTTTCGATTAAAGCAATAAAAAAAAATGGAGCAACAGGCCCATTCTTGCGACAAAAATGACCAGTTTAGTGCTATCAATAAAATACATGATAAATTAAAGGCTACCAGTCAAATGCTAACAATATATCTGGCAATTAGCAAGGTCCTGAAAAGTGGGCTTCATTTGAGCAAAATCAATTAGGAAAAATAGTACAATGTTATTAGCTCTCAGGTTGGTGATCTCAATGTGACCTACTGGCTAAAAGCCAAAATACTTGTTCTCAATTTCAGCTACAACACTGATGGAAAATATAGCCAATACAGAACTGTTTCCACATGAGTTTATGATTGGTTATATTATTTGTTTTGGTTTGAACCAAGAGTTCTATACTAAATCGAAAGACCTAGTCCCTAAATCAGTCTATTATGGATCCTCTTATACAATCCCTCCCTGTAATAATTAACTTTTGAGCACTCATGAATTTCACATTTCAAACGCTTGTACCATTTTTTGCAGTCTTCTCGGAATTAGAGGGAATGGACACCAGCAGTTCGCACACAATTCAAAAACTTTAATCCATTATTTTGTTCATTGCAGGGAATTGTTATGCCAAAGTGAAGAAGGAAACTGAAAGTATCAAAGAGAAGATAGAGGCTGAATTAGGTCTAGAGCCCGTTGAGCAAGAAGTAATCGTTTTGTACAAAGGAGAAAAAGAACAACAGCCCTCCGAATATTGGCAGGTAACAGAATTTAAAAAACTATCTCATTTATTCAGCCTCCCAAGAACTGGCAATTTATTTTTTCAACTTATTTATTACTGAATCGACGATATTACTTGGCTGAATCCATTAACGTTTTCGATCCCTCCACCATTTACAAGATTCATTAATTGTGCAGTAATTGAGGTGCTGGGTGCCGAAAGGGCATTTCTTGGATGCAGTATCTCAAAATCTCCACTAATATTTCATCCATTGTGATAAAATCAAATTTATGTAATTTTTTGTCACTTTTACTAAATATTCTTTATAATTTTACAAAGCTGTAAATGTAAAATTTCAGAAAATTCACCCAATAGTTTCCCCCTCGAAATAAAAATTAGCACTGGAGATTCTAGAACACCACAACTAAGAAATGCCCTTTCTGCATCAAACACCTCAATTGAAGTATAAGTACTTTAAGATATGAAATTTTATTACTCTTTATAAATTAGTGCTGTAGTAATTAAGTAAGCAGTAAATTTAACAACATTTTAATTTTTGGTCAGACAGCGTTTGAATAAAGCTCTGCGAATCTTCAATGAACTAATCCCGCACCAAGCCTTGGGAAACATTCCTGAATCTGAACCGAACCTTGAACCTTCTTTTTCGCAAACAGAAAGTCGTCATTCACACAAATTTTACTAAAATTTGAAAAATTGTCCATTAACTCAGCTACTACAGTTTGCTGATTTAATATATCAGTTCAACCAACAGGAAAGCTTTAATCAAGTTGATGACACTAATTTAGAACTACCGTTCGAAGACTTGGAATAGCACTGGATTTTTAAGGACACCATAAACTCTCAAAATTTTTATGGGCATTTTTCAAGTCAAATACACATCTGACATCCACACCTATAAGGACCTGAGATGTAGACCTCCAGAAGGGTGTTGATCAAGATGTCTTGTCCATTCATAAACATATGTTATGACCCTCTTGAATTCTTTTTCTCGCAGTAAATAAATACATTTATGTATGTGCCCAATATATATAAATGTATCTGTTTACCTTTATGAAGTTTTTGCTCGTTTTTAGGGCTCATATTTCAGGGCTATTTATTCCACGTTGTCAAAGATATTACAAGCATATCATTTATAGAAAATCCATCAGAATAAATTCTCAGAGAAATAACCTAAGTTTTCCTTCACTTTTTCATTATCAAATTCATTATGAGTAAATTTTTGGAACTCCTCGATTATTTTATGTTCTCCTTTTCTTTCCAGGGGAAAAGAATTGTAGAGATTGACAAGGAACGTCCCGCATGGTTCAGCAAAAATCTAATGGAAAAAAGCACTGCTGGAACATCTGATTGTGTCGATGTAAAACCTACAGAGCTCGCTTAAATTTGGAGTACTGCCTGATATGAATATTGTTGATCCTTTTTTTTATGTTTTATAGTATATTTTAAGTCAAATGTGCGAATTATGGTGCAGATAAACGGCTTGAATGATACTTTTCCTATGTATGATTGATTCCATTTGGAGCTTACAAAAAACTTCTTCTTGTGCTATGAAAAGGAAGATACAGTTTTCTTATCCTTCAATCTTCTTCACTCAAGCATCAATGAAAAGCAATTGTCAAAAAACCTCATTCCATGAAAAGTCTCATTTTAAACCAAAATGCAAGCACCAGCAATGAAAATAAAAACCTGAAAACTTAGTCTTTTTTCAGGAATGTAAAATTCATTGAATAAAATAGTAATAAAATAAAAAAGTGTCACATATGTATGATTCTTTTAAAACAAGATCCTGTATTAAAAAAATTCATGAATAAATAAACACAGAAAATGGGTATGTGGAATGTACTTAAAACACATTAATAGAAAGGCACAGCGAATACTTTAATAACAAAAAATTAAATCTCCTGAATTTTTACATTCATTCACATTTTTATCATCACAGATTGAAAAAATAAATTAATTGAATCTATCGGTTCAAAAACGACCCATCTCCTTTTTTAAAATTCTCTTTCATATCTTCTCTTGTGACCATGAACTGTCCTATTTTCCTTTTTTCCATCAAAAATAATCCTTAGCATCTCACAAGTATTTTTTCTGAGAGGTAAAAATATAGGACATACTTGGAGTGGTATTCATAGATGTTCCGTAAACGTTGAGGTCACCTTAATCTATGTGATTTGTGTGGGTTAAGGAAGCCTTAACGTTTAAGGATCAACGATTAATATGACCTGCAGTGAAGAAAGATAAATGAAGGTTGAGGAAAAGAAGATGGATCATTCCCAAACTGACAGATTCACCTATCGAAATGGTCGAATTATAAAATACATCTATAAAACTAGGGGACTGTAAAGGTTATACTAATCTAAACTATTAACATCATTATTAGAATACTTCAACATTCTCTGAGAATTTTCAATTACCTCATCACTGAAGAGTGATCAATTACTGTTTGAATGAATTCTCTCTCTTCCATACTGCAATTGTTAAGTGATTGCTACACACTGCGTAAATAAAATAACAATTAGATTTACAAAAATTATGATTCTATTGGATGTAGAATATAAAAATCATTTTAAAAAATGCAGATATCATTTTAACTGAAACAACAATTTAGTGGGGTCCAAGCACCTCAAACTGGTCTAGAATACTGGTGACTTCACTTTCATCATCTTCAATAAAATGCTCATTTACATGATCTTGGAAGATAGTAAAGTCCTTGCCATCATCATCCACACACTTAAAAATCCTGGCACAGATAGGACAAACTCTAGCTCCTGAGTTTTCAGTATCTTGTACCATTCCACTCTCATCAATGAAATCCTTGTCTGTCATGTGCTGCAGAGGAATTTCGACGGCAGCAGAAACATCCTGCGATTTCCGTTCTTTGCATGCCGGACAGCTTCCTTTGGATTGAGCCCCTTAAAAGAGAAAATCATTAATTTTTTGAGATGGTTTGTAGGTAGTTGTTTTGAGTAAAAGTTAGAGTGTTAGACAGAGTGTGACTTTCAGTGCATTGGAGTGATCAATTCAATTCTTATCAGAGCTATCAATGAAGAAAATCCAGATATCTGACACGCTATGCAGAGTGCAAATATTTTGAGCACAGAAAAGTAATGACATTGCAGGCGAGCTAATGCACCAAATAAAAAAAAAAAAGAACAAACCAAGACCTCTTTGGAAAAAAATGTGGGCGATCAAGAAATTTCTAGCTGACTAATCTTCATTTAGTTCTGGGAGCAAACGACATACCCTTACTTTACAAATGCCCCTCCCACAATGCTATTAAAAAAAAAATTCGGATGTGCAAAAAATAGGCTATTGAGCATAAGACTTAATATTCATTAGGTACCTACATGCGGTGTAATGGGTAGGTCGCAATCCTCTTTCACCTATGTTAAAATTGAAAAATCAGTTTGTTAAGTACGAACATTTTGTTCTACTCATCCTTTAGAGTAACAATTCACAGCATAAGCACATATAATTATTTCCAAATCACCATTCTTTTCTTTGGCATGGCAGAATAGGTGCATACTTCCTCCTATATTTTCCAAGAACAAAAAGTAGAAGCATGATACGTACCTTTTTTTTTTATTTTTTCAAGAACAGAGAGTAAAAGCCTTTGTTGATTCACCACAGTCTTTTCCATTATATTCAACTGGTTCTTGCAGTTTTTCATTTCTGCCAAAATTGCATCACTGCTAACATCACTCACTGGGCTCTCAAAGTCGCCACAAGATGAGAGTTCAGCCTGAATTTTTTGAAGTTCCACCATCTGCACAGATAAGATTAAAATACCTAATTAGTAAGCCCGGTAATTTTTTTATGATTGAATTTAATATTTTGGAGGGGTTTCACTACGAAAATCAATTTTCACAACAGGATGACTTCCTTAAAATGGCACCTCCTTGTTTATTATCCTTATCACATTTAGGGCTAGTGCATGATTTTCATTGTTCAAACTTGAATTTAGGTTTAAGCGATAAAATGCGACAACTTTTGCCCCATTAAATGGGGCAAAAGTACGTATTTTCAATTTTTTTTAAAAAATTTGTCCGGCCATGGATTTGATTTCTAAATTCGAACAACGCAGGGCACTTGTGCGTGAGGGCTTGCAGTAGGTGCCTGACCTTTTTTCCCGGCTTAAAAATCAATTTGGTCACAGAAATACAGGAAAAATCAAAAAATGCATACTTTTACCCCCACCTATCCTAGTAGCACAAGATTAATTTTGAAAATACTATACCTCTTTGTACTGTTGCTCCAAATCAGACTTCTCTTGTTTAAAGCTGTTTAAAATCTTTAGGGAAATCTCCTCTAAGCTCTCATCTCGAGCACCTGGAAAAAAAGTTCTAAGTTTTAAAAAGAAACTGAAAAAGAAATATAAGGAAAATGAGTCGCTACCCAAAGGGGATCATCCGACCGCAAGATTCACAGAAATGGACCAATTCAGAAACCTTTCATGTTTCAGAAAAAAAGGAACCAGCTTCCTTAAAGCTCTATCTAAATTTTAAAGCAGCTGTAAAAGAATCCTTAGTTGGGCCTTATTCTAAAGGCTCATGCCCAGGGGCTTTGATCTCTTTTTGAGCTAGCAGTCAAAATCTGCTGAGACGTGAGACTTTACAATATAATAAGTCACACATCAAGTCGACCACGCAAAAAACCCAGGGCAAATCACCTAAATGCTACTTAAAGACTTAGGGACCTTGATGATACCTCTTCACTTTGAGATTTCTGATAAAATCCACCGGCTTCCTATCCTGGGCTGAAATAGTCTATGGACTATGTTCAGAAATCTCAATGAGGCAATTTTGTTTGGTACTTACAAGTCACACAACCTTACGTACCTGTGACTTTTTTATCCAATTTGTTAACTAGGTTTAATGAGTTGTTGGGTTTGGGAGCAGAGGAAGTGTGTTTGTTCAGTGCGTCTGAAATTTTGTTGAGGTGGTCACCCAGTGTTTCGTTGACTTCAGTTAGTTGTGAAAGCCTGGTCCATAGCTGTTTGTTTTCGTTTGCAACCATGAAAATGTGGTGAGTAAGTGATGCTTTTTGTTTGTTCAACTGAGTAACTTGCTCCTCTAAAGATGAGCGGGTTTGTGTCTCTTCATTGCTGGATGTAAACCTTTGGTTCTCGAGTTTTAGCCGCAAATTTTCCTCCTCCACTGATGTCAAGCGATTCTGTAATTGTTGACATCTTTCTTTCATGGTCTGCAAAGCCACTTGTAGAGCATATTTAGATGCAGTTGTTTCATCCATTGAAACGTCTTTAAATGACTGGAGGCCAGAAAAAATGTTCTGATCTTTATCGTTGATCATTACTGGGTTGCCAGCACAAGTTCCACATTGACAACAAAGGGTGGAGCTTAAAAGAGCACGGTTAAAGTTTATTTTTTAAATCCAGATTTCTGAAAGATGGGAGAGTTGGGCTGATAGCAAGTTAAAGAAAAGGTTTCGAGTGGAGACTAGAGCCCTTATCGGTAGAAATTTTCCAACATCACGGAAATCCTTGGACGATAAGAATTTAGGGGATAAGTAACACTTCACAAAACAGTGCCAAAACTTTAATTAAAATCACAGATTAGAATTTTCCGGAATACTTCAAGTGAATTAAAGGAACTAAGTTGACAACTCATATTACAGATTTAATCACTGATTGATACACACATTCTTAGAGGGTTTCAGTTCTTTTCGTTGAAGCTCTTGATAAACTTGAATTTGAGGTTACCTACTTATCAATCAAGTTTTTATCAACATACAAAAAAGACGTTTTTCATTGGTCAGTCATTTTTTTATGTTTGAGGTTATGTTTACTAGTCCATGCTTTGATTGTTTTCATACGCTCTTATCACTTACTCTCCTTATCGTCTTATCACAGAAAAGAACTTAGTAAGAACGAATCAGTTTTCCAAATTTCGTGAGTTTATTTTGTAACTATTTTATCTTACACAAATTGTTCGGTGTACACTGAGTCAAGCGTTTTTTACATTTTATAATGTAATTTGATCGAATGTGCTCTTTTAGCTTTTGTGCAGCTCATCTACTCATTTACAAAACAATGTCTTGTGCCATTTCAAATGGAAGATCTATCATTCAACTAATAACGCTTAAAAATACTCGGACTTCACCACGTTTTATGTATCAATCCCTGAACAGATTATCACTGGAAAGAAACGTAATAACTGACATCAATGTATATTCAACAACCCAGCGGTCTCTCCTAAGTCCCAAGTTTGGAACGCTCTGTAGCGCTGGGCTTCCTTTGAGCAAAAAATTTTCCCAGTAAGTAGTCTATTAATTATCTATGCATTACGTTGACAAAATGAATTCAAATTAGTCCATGGTTTCCTAAATGTTATCTCTGTGATGTTCGTTTTGGATAGAATCAAGTAAGGTAGTGCTGCAAAACCAATGGCTAACTCTCATATTTAAGCAGCTGGCTTTATCAGTGAATTCACAACCTCATTGGTACTGGCATATAAGACTCTTACCCAGTGGTTTGATGTACTGATTTATTGCCCCCCTCTTTGGAAGATGAGATTCCAAGTACTTCACCTAAACTTCTAGATAAATGAAAGAATTGGCACAAATCTAGATTTCAGCAGAGGTAATCAGCCGATTCATAAGCAGTGCAATCACCTTCAAATTTTTATAGGCAGTTTTCACATCACCACTCAAACTTTTAACTCAGCGCCTTGCGTACTTTTTCTCACACAAGACAACAAGGTCAAAAGATTTCTGCATAAATAAATGTATCTAAAACAGTGCATTATGCAACAGCAAAGCAAATGCTGTAGCATAAAAAATGGCAATTTCGCAACCCGGCGCGTCTAACCAAAACTGCAACCAGTTTTAGGCGTTTAGGGAGATACTTCGTCAAGTTAAGTGTTCAAAATTTGAAAAAGCCTTGAGGCATTTTTGGCCGTTTTTTCACACATATCTTCAAATTTGCTGTCTTTTTCAGAAATTGTAACGAGTTTGATTACCATAAAGTTTGCGATGAAACATTAGATTCCCTCTGTGAATATTTTGAAGATTTAGTTGAAAATTCAGCACATCTTACTGCAGCGGATGTAACCTATGGAGTAAGTATCTTTTTTTCTCCTTCCTTACATGTAATTACTCCTCTCACTAAGTGACCCTCTCTCTCTAAAACAGGGGAGGTTTTATCTGTGATAATTTTATTCATGTCAGCAGTCAGTGAAGGTACAAATGTCAAATTCTTAATACTTTAGCTACAACCAGTACTTACCGAGGTGAAATAGAAAAGAGGAATATGATGTTTCCTTTGAGATCAGCAAGACAGCAAGAAAACAGCTATAGGTTTTTAATTTTTATAAAATTGAGCCTTATAGTTTTATTTGAGATACTCTTCCCAGAATGGTCAAGTTTCAGATCATTTAAAGTTTCGTTAAAATTACTCATACTTAAAGCTCTATAAAGGATTCCGATCCATACAAGGAAATGATTCCTAATTTCCTCTGAAGTACGTATAGTTGAAAAATATGTATGCAAAGATTGCTCATGATACTGTCTGTGTGTGGGATCAGTGTTCCCGGGTGCTCCGTGTGCGAGATCCGTATGCTCTACCGCTCTCCGTGCTGCTATTGGCTGAGCGTCATTCTGTGACGTCACGCGTACGGATATTTTAAGATAGGGAACGGTTTTCCCATGAGGTTTTGGTCCGTATGCGATCCGTGTCGGTATAGGGAATGTCCGCGCGACAGATAAATCAGTACGCCTGGCATCACTGTGTGGGATTCTCCTTTGAAATTTATTTTATGACTTTCAATTTTTTCACATCTTCAATTTTGATTTGCCTGCAGGATGGTGTACTCACGGTAAATTTTGGTGCTCCTCATGGAGTGTACGTAATCAACAGACAAACTCCAAATAAACAAATATGGCTGAGTTCTCCTACCAGTGGACCTAGAAGGTATGATTTTGAATCCAGTAAAAAAGCCTGGATCTATCGACACACTCAAGAATCTCTTCATCAACTTCTCCAGTCTGAAATTTCCAAAATAGTTAGACAGGAGGTGAACTTTTATCAATGTGCCTTCAGTGGCCAAGATTAGAATTTAATTCTCTATTTAAGTTCTTGTCATCTTGTGAGGTTCATGTTTTTATTTTTAAGAAAATTGTTATTTCCTTCATTTGCACATACATGTAACTATATTTGTCTTACAATTGAAGCAAGGATCGTGAAGTGAAGGAAAATTGTTTAGGTTTGCTTTTCTTCAGGGCGTTATTTGATGTAAAAAGAAAATAAATAAATATATCTAAGTAGATATCTATGTTGAATAAATTAAACCTTTCACACAAACCATAGCTTTTAACGAAAATAATCAACAGACAATGAGGAAGAAGCTGGTGAAAGCTTAGCTGTTTTTTGCTGATTCACTGTCCTTGCATCCTTGTATTATCCCTATGGGCTGTAAAAAATTCCTAGACCACTATCAATCATTCTGAGTAAATTTCCTGACCCCTGAAAAGAGGGCAAGGATGTGTGGCGTTTTAGTGAATAATTTTCACTTTGAAGAAAGAAACAATGTAATTGGAATGTTATCATGGATGGAAGGTCAAGAAGATATTAACAGAAGGAACTCATACGATTATTTCTGTCAATTTTTAAGTCGTAATGTTCTAGTTTAAACCAATGTTCCACAAACCTCGCAACATCATAACCCCTTAAGCAGGGAAATTCTTACTTTTCAAGTAGTAAATCATCTCTTGTGTGGATTACAGTTATTAGCAACTTCTCTCTGAAGGGTTACAATGAGAACCTTCCATTATTAAAAAAGTAATAAAAAGGAAGTGTCAAAGCAAATTTAAAATCTGTGACCATCCTCAGATTAAGGTAGTGGCATATCAAAATTCAAAAGTTTTCAAATTAGTCTGGTTGTTATTTTGAGAAGATACTCTATGGAAACTTCTAGTTTTTCAGCCTCATCTCTAATGTTCTTTGATTAAGAAACAAATTATGTGCGATCTCCGTTTCGCTGACCCTCCTGATCATCCAAAATGTATCACTGTGATTGAAGAACAACATTCCAAAATCAAAAGAGCATGACTCATAAATAATAAGAAAAGTTAAGATGAGGGTAGCATCTTCTTGCTTATTAACGTATGTATCAAAACGTTGGATATTTAATTTGATGAGAAGCGATTTCAAAATCTTGATAAGTATGAGAACAGTATCTTCTCTTAGAGGAATTGTTCAAAAAGTAAGTACCTTTTTGGTATAACTTCTTAACTACTGCATAAGAATAAGATTTGTAAATTGCCACTTATGAGTCATACTCTCAGCTTTTTAACAAGCTGTACATAATCATGTAAATTTGGTTCCCTAGAGCGCAAGCTAATTTGTTTTTTGTGCATCCATGTCCCCACCAAATAGATTCAAAATTTCACACAACCGGGCAACCAACCAACAAAGATAATTTGCTACAGAGCTAAAAGTAAGACCAATAAGACGCTTACAGATTTTAATTTCATGCAGCAGTTTAGAGGTTGGGGTAAAAATATATTTACTTTTGGAGCGACTCTTGTACTAATGTTTCATGGTGTACATTTCTATAGAGATGAAATGTTAAAAAATGCTCATCTCACATAGCACAGTATATTAATGAGGCAAAAACAATGAAGTACTAACTTTGAATTTCTCTCATTTTCCACGAACGATATGCTTGTGGAGATTTTACTGTTTCTGAGATAAAATAAATTTTTAAGGACAAAGATATCCCTAAAAGGCTACCTCTCATCAAAGTTTGAAGAAAGACATCATGACATGAACAGTTGCTAAAGTCAAGAGTTCACAAAGCCGTGAACCAATCTGGAAAAATATACTTGAAGAACAAGACAAGAGATGATTTATGTTTCAATCATGTTATTTTTTCAAAGAAATAAATAAAAAAAAAAATAAATAAAACAATGGTTGGTAAGCATCTTTTGATACGAAAAGGAAAAAGGTTTAGAAAAAATTGTCATTAGTTTGACAAAGCATTGACTCCTTAGCTAATGCTAATTAGGCCAGGTGGATTTTGAGAAACCTGCATAAAAATCAAATTTACGATGGATTATTTTAAAATCTTTGAGACATATTTTACAGTTAAAAAGGATGAGCCAGTGCTTGGTAAAGATTTTGGAAAGAAATTACTATTCATTTGACATTTCCATGAAAGTGGGAATACTTAAGACAATTTCTATCGTGTTTGGAGTTGTAGCATCAGCGATCATAATTTTTGTTCCATCATGAATATCCAATTCACTTAGTTTCTTTTTTAAATTTTCACGGGTCTTCACTTCTATACTTGGCACAGTTGACATGTAAAGTGTACGATTTTTGCCTTCAATATTTACTGCTAATCCAGGATTTTTCATACGGAATGTAGGACTATCCATCAGAAGTTGAATCAACTCTTGTAATTTCATTTCATTAGATGTTAGTTTTAAATACTTAGGTATAGAGCTAGGTTTACAAGCTAGACAGTTCTCATTTTTCTCAGCTTCATATAAATATGTGTAAATACCATCGATATCATTAAAAATCATGAAATTGTTCAAGGGTTTACAACAACTTGTGGCCATCTTGAAAACTTCAGTAGCACAGGCAGCAGCTACGACAGCATTGGTTGAAGCAACAGCTGGAATAATGTTCTTGACAACGCCTTGAACAAGTCGATATGTGACTCCCAATATACCTGGACAGAAATAATCAATCCAAGGGTATATATAAGAGAGCATTTCATGTTAGAAGAGCAGTTTAAAAACCGATGAAATGACAGCTATAATTTAAAGAAAAAAGTTAATTTATAGGTCATGTTATACTAATTTTTATCAAATCCTCTTCAGCCATAAGTTTTGCCATTAGAAGGAATGCGCTCATGACAATACTCATTTAATTTTTCAATGATTTTTTTGCATACATATGCACAAGGTGCTATCGCTCATTCAAGAACCCGCGATAGGTCGGGTCTGAAAAACTGAATGCCACTCCAAAAACACACACACAAATGTCTTCATTACAGACTATTCATCAATTCGTTGAAAAAGAACACCACCTCTTTAAGCCATTCCATAACTCTTGAAATTGTATGCTTCACGACTCTTACAGGATTATGTTTTAACTAACTAAACTTCTTGCAAGAACTCATGAGTTGGGTAAGAGTCTTACATTACAAGATTTAATCTATAGCTGCTAAAAAAATTCAAAATCCACATGCGCTACTGCGCTAAACGCTCCTGAAAAATCAACCAAACCTCATAAAATTATCGCAATCATAATTTTGACACTTCGAGCTCATTTCCTCAAAATCGAAAAATGAGTACTTACCTAGTATCATTTGAACGACTTATAATTGGGTGCTTCTAGTTCTTCTATTTTTAATAGAAATCCACACAAATTTTGTTTCAGTTGAATAAAATTTAAATTTTGAAAGCGCCAAAAGCTCTTTGTCTCAATCAGAATATCTGGCTCCTAAAACTCAAAAGAGAGTCTGGAACAATGGCCACAAGTACTAATAGCCTACAAACTGTGTGCGCATGTTTCTGTGTTTGGTATCGTAATAGATGACTCTGTCAAAGTGGAGCAAAATACACAAAATATGCTGTGAATTTATACTGCAACACCAACGATTTTAATTTTTTTTTTTTTTTTTTTTCGAACGAACTTCAAGTTTGAAGTGAGAGACTGTGTTTGCCTGAAGTGCTCAAATAAGAGCGAAACCAGTGGCGTTCCATCGCCAGACCTTCTTTCTTTCCCCACACTGAACTCACCGCAACCAAGATACTCATAAATAAAACTGAGCTTTAACAAAAACTTTTCACTAGCTGGAAAAAATTAAAATTGTTGGTAAAATGATGTAGAGCTATAAAATAATTTACTCTTGGCTTATACTGCATAGTTCAGAAGACACTCTAACTAGTTAACAAGTTAATTACCATATTGAGTTGCCCTCTCGCTGGCTTTTTCAAAGATCCAGTTGAGATGAGTTGGGTCATCACCATCTATGGATGCATCAAAAGGGTTTTCCTTAGGCCACTGGATTACTTTGACGTACTCAATACAATGCTCTGGTAGTCGTGGTGTGCTAGCAATGGTGCAAAGAGGATACACAACCTGCAATTTTTCCCAAGAATAATTGTAAAAATGACATAAAAGAGTGGAAACAGCATAAAACCACAGACACTACATAATGCAGATATTTAGATTGTGCACTATCGATGAGATCACCTTAATAGGATGTTGTTTCTTCCTTCAGCAATAGCGCTGTATCCAAGATATTGCCTTACCTACCTAACAGGTTCAAAGCTTGAAATGAGGAAAGAAAAGAATGGAAAAATGTCACATCAACCTAAATGCATCATTCAACAGTTGGCTTATTGATAACTATATATATTTGAATGTTGCCATTTTTCCGATGCGACATTTGTTCATTCATTACTTACTTCCCCCAGTTAGGAGCCACCTACCCTGCTGTGCCATCAGAAGAGCCTATCAAACATTTGCTATGTTGAATTTTTACGGAATTTAGATATGGCTGAAGAAAGTCAATGTCAATTAATGATTAATAACATCAAACAAAGAACGACTGACAACTCAACCGAAAGGCGTTTTAGAGATCCTCAATCTTTTTATTGCGCTCTGAGACAAGTTTCATTATCTTTGATTATTCCTGTCTGAGACAACTGTGATTTGTTAAAAGAATTAGAAAAATACTTAGGCTTGAGATGAGGAGGGATAGTTAAAGAACACAATTCAGTTCTCATCAATAATCAGTACTTAAATATAAAATAGAGAAAGAATAGGAGTTTTACCTGAGGAGGATATAGATCGAGAGTACAATCAACACAGGCGGACATTCCAGGCAAAATTACACGGGCACTTCCTTTGAATCCTTCAGTGCCACCATCAATCATGGGTATAATCGATGATGGATCTAGCTCTTCATTATCATCATAGGAGAGTAAAGATACTAACATTCCATTGATCCAACGCCTGGCAATAATTGAATCTAAGCCACACACAACAATATGAAACTGCCTGTAGAAATCAGAGTCAAAATCTTGAATTTTACAAAAATGGGGCACTACATTGCAGCCTGGTACTCGAGCATTGATAAATTTAGCTGCAACTTCTGCTTTTGAAGAACCTATGTCTTTCTGACGAAAAAGAAATTGCCGATTCAAGTTGGATAGATCAATAGTGTCCATATCAATAACATGAATGTGCTTGAAACCCATCATCGCTAAGTTCTTCAAAAGCTCACATCCTAGACCGCCAGCTCCAACGACTAAAATTTTGCAAGATGACATCAAAAAATTAAGAGTTTCAGGGCTGCATTCAAATTCTGGATGGCAAAAGGGTCCAGGTCTTTCCAGTACTTTCTTCAAATGATTCCATCGATGAGATGAGCTGTCATGGCCCTGGGAACTTGAAGAATTACTCATTTTGCAGAATATTCGCTCGGAGCACAATTATTACCAAAAAAAATCAATTTCTGTACAATTTTACACTTTACTATGTGAAACAAATTGAACGAATTCTTATCACTACAGCGCGCAATGTTTACATTTTAAGGGCTGTTGTTGTTGTTGTTCTTGAGAGGCTCAACGTTGATTGTTCGCGGTGTTTGGTGAGCACCGACCTCCGAAGTTCCCTCTCCAAAGTTTTGAAGATCAGCTGACGAAAGAAGACTAGTGATAATGTTAGAGAAAAAATCATGCTAAGTGACCGTAAGTTCATAATAGTTTGTACTATGGCGTGTATCGGGTCCGGCAGGCTCTGTGCTCGCGGTGTAGAGAAATTGTGCCAACTAGGACAAACTACTCAAGTGCGTAGAAAATCGTCTGCTGCTTTTGTGAAAATCAAACAAATTGGAATTCAACCATTATCTAGGACTTTATTGCAAAAGGTTAGTCAATCCTCCTTTCTGAAACTCACTTCTAGACTTCTCTTTTCCGCTATTTTGTCAGTCTCTACCATTGAGTTCTCGTTAATTTTAAAGCATTATATGTTTAATCCCTTTCAAAATCTTATCACTTTTAACCTCAATTCCGATCGTAAAGGACGAAAGTGTTTTAGCTCCCCTCATTCCCTCCGGACTCGATTGATCAAAAGACCGTCTCAACAGTCGAACAATCACGTAACACACCAGAATTTTTATTTCAGCGTGTCTAATAATTTTTATCAACCCATTCTGTGATTAATTGTTTTTCGTCTTTGGATATCGAATCCTCAAACACGTTATGCCCGCGTTCGGAACTCAATTTATGTCTCAATTTTCCTCGCGTCTGTGTGGTTGCAATTTTGATCCGCGGAATTTGACCCACGTGATTATAAGAGGGAAAGTTGAATGACGGAATGTTACCGCGCGCGCTTTTCATCATAGTCGCCCGATCTCCTCGTATGAATTAAAATTTCTCATTATTCGTGCAATTTTTATTTTATTTTATTCCAATTTATTTCACTCTCAATCATTCTATTTGATTGAATTTGCCAGCAGAAAACGTCATTCAACTCGGCTGGCTATTTTTCTTCATCATTTTAAAAAATATGCTATTCAAGAAATTTTCCATTAACCACCTCTCTTTCTTATATGTTAATCATTTTCTATTAATCTGCAGTCCTCTTCTGATCCCTTCGCAGTTTTGCTGTCAGGTTTGACAGGAAGGCTTATTGATAGGTAGGTAGTCAGTATACCCGGTTTTTCTGTTTATTTGTTCCAATATTTACTCGCCTGTAGATATTTATTATAATCCAAGTACACAGGCCTGGATCTCTCTCTCTTTATATTCTCAAAGGGGAAGGAAAGGTCTAATTAGTATTGCCATAAGTTCTGCAACAACCTCACTTTTTTTGCTATACACCTAACAACACCGAAATTTAAAGGTTTATTTTTTTCTAGACAACTTCATCCATTCCCATTATAACAACCATGTGTTCAGACAAATAGAAGCATTACATTTTTCTCCTTTTAGTGCCCAAAATAATTTTTCCCTTGTATTGCTCTCATCAACTTCACCTAGGAAAGAAAATAAAAATTAAGCATGAAATAAAATTGGCAATTGAGTAAAAACAAGGCAATACATTTTAGAAACCCAAGCATATACAACATCAGAAAAATAGAGGTGACTTATGCTGTAGATGCATCCATGGCTTTCAGCGTCCACGTTTAGAGCCCAATATTCACTTTCAACCCTTCTTGGACAGCAATACAGCGTGAGCTCTCTCTTTCGGGTAAACCCACGTCGAATGCTCTCGATATTTGTACTTAGCGATGAAACAACGGCGATAAGAATAGAAAAACCGGTATCTCGATCACGACGTTACCTAATTTGACCTGTTAAATATCTTAGCCTCTCGCCTCCTTTCTCCCCCAAGAAGACCAATATTTTATTTGTTTTTTTTATTTTTTTACAAGTGTCAAAGCACTTAATATTCTCGTCACGCCAATGAAATTTTATCCGTCGTTCGAGAAATGATAATGCTCATGCAACAAAGCGGATTGAATTGAAAGTCAGAAACTTTGAACATCGAAGTATCGATGGAAAACGACGCATTTATCCGTTTGCGATGTTGCAGACCTCTTGTCACTCTCTATTTTTTCTTTGAAAAATTGGTGAGCGTAATTTTTTGAAAACCTCCTTGATTTTTCTTCTCTCCCGGGAGAATATTCTGTGTAAATTTCAAGCTGTAAAATTTGGCTTGTTTCTCCCGAAAAAATAAATTAGGAGCGGAAATTTTGAAACACCGCAATTAAGATATGTGGGCTCGAACTTTAGCCATTGGTGTGGTTTCAGGAGCGGTTGGCAGGCTCAGCGATTTTTCGGCAAAAATTCCAAATAGGTGACGGACGTTCGGTAGGCGCGTTAAATCGACACGAGAAAGGGTCATTAAAGACATTCTTGAATAAAATTAGGTTTGCTCAAAATTTTAACTTTAGATACGAGAGTTACCTTTTGTCAAAATAATGGATCATATCATACCATACTTCTCCAGGTCATGTACCTACCTTGGGAACCTCCTTCAGAGAATTGAGGTCTCAAATTTTCCAACTTTTACTTTCCTGAATTTCCACGATTTCTCTATTTCAATCCCCGTGAAAGTGACGAGAGAAAGACGGTGGATTTCCGCCTGAATCGAACTCATGTCAGACGAGCGGGTTAAATTATTTCTCGGTCTGGCAAACTCCCAGGTTTTAAGTTCAGCTGACGGAGTGCACGGGTTACGTAACTATAAAGAGTCGTAGAATGATAGAAAAACCAGTGTGTCTGTAACCGAACAGTGACGCAAGTGTTTCATCCGGTATAACGTCGATTTCTTCTCTGTGCCCTCTGAGTTCAGAGTTTTTCCTGTGAATATTTGCCGCTCTTATGAATGAGAAGGCGCTGAATGAATTTTATGAGAGATAATCGCTCACGCTGCGAATGAAAGCCGAGACGACGAGTCTTGACTCTCTTTGTGGACCTCTTAAATTCGGGCTACCCGCAATATTAAAATTTCTATTGTCATGCGGAAATATGCCATCGAAAATTCCTAGTTGGCCTTAAAAACCTTTATAAATTGCCACGTCTGTGGATTTTTTTAGACTGTCTGTATCATACTTTACTTCTGTGATGTAAAATCATAACAGGAACGCATAACGCCTGAGGCGCGAAGCGCTCCAGGGGCTTAAGTACGAAGCTATCAGGGGCGTAACTCTCTATTATGGAATGAAAAATGCTCCCTTTTTTCTCTATGGGCAGTCTTTTAATTTTGAAAAATCATCGAAACGAAAAATAGGTTTCCATTATTCCCCTGAAAAAAGAGTATTATTAATCTAAAAGTAATTTACGTGTCTCCTGAAAATTGTTTGCAAAAAACGAAGCATGTAAAAGACCGGAAGAAAACGTGCAACCCCCGTTCACAAAGTGTAAGAGTTTTTTTCTAAGTATCAACACTCGATGAGCGATGCGCCAAACAGTGTGTCAAGTACAGAACATAGAGACTTAATTTGACATATTTGCATTGCAAACTGCTCAACTCAACGTTCGTCAGCAATCATCGGGCAAAGACGAGTGTTCATCACTTTAATCATCAATATTATCATGCGTAAAATAGTGTCAAGCCGCGGAATTAACTCATGTCTGACCCGATCACATGGCTTTGGTAGCCGGTGCATTTTGATACGTCGTCTTCCACGCATCTTTAACTCACACTGCGAGTAAAGCCCTACCTCGCGTGAGATGGATTTATCTGAGCCCGATTTTCATGAATTGTATATCGATGGGAAGTATAGATTTGTGCTGTGGAGGGCAGTGCGCCTTTATTTTATAATGCAGGCCAAAATCTACCCCCTGAGTCGAAATAGTTGCACGCTAAATGACGATTTTTTAGTTCGAAATTATGTGCGACCTCCTTGTTCACTCATACTTCCTTCAACTCGTGCAGCAAGCAGTTCCTCCCCCTCCCCCCTCTCGCCTTCTCCTTAATATCTTTAACGGACCTTTTAGTGATAAACTTATAGTAAGTACTTACTTGCCTGCTTTTCCCGCGATGATGGCAAAATAAATCTCGAAGATCTGTGATGCTGAAGTTCGCAGGGGCGCAGGAATTTCTTCGGCCAATGCAGTTTCAAGCAACTAGGGATTCACTACACGTAGCATGACATTGCGCGTTCGCAATCATTTTCAACAAATTTAGCGTGTTTGCACTAATTTTCTAAGAATTAAACGCTTTCAAAGTTCATCCCTCCAAAATTTAACCGTTCCGCAGTAACTTTTTCAGAAATTTAACGCTTTCGCAGTAATTTTTTTGAAAATTCAACGCTCGAGCAAAAATGTTTTCCAAAATTCAATACTTACGCTGTAATTTTCTCCAAAATTTAACGCTTTTACCCTAATTTTGTAAAAATTAGCTCGTTGAGCTTTCACCCATAAGAATACATATAACCGTTTTTGTATTCTTGTAACCGAAAGCCGGTTCATGCAACCAAACTTCATTCATACATTTTTTTAACTTCATTAGTTCGGCTATACGAACCGATCGTTCGGTTACACGAACTGAAAGTCGGATTTAACGAAACGAATAGTTGGGATGATAAAGAACACAATGTTCTCCTTCATATTGTGGATATGCAATTTTACCTTCTTGGAAGTCAAAATAGTTGTATCTTGCGTTTTGCCCCTTCCAACTTTTCTACTCTGCGTTAAAATTTCTGAGTCAGCGGAGAAGAGACCGAGCTCTCTCTCATTGTTGTGGTTATGCGAGAAAGTTGTGTTGCTTCGTAAGTATGGTGACCGAATCTGTAAAAAGGGACCTCATCTTCTGGGTAAAAATATCCCGAACTCTAAAGTTCGCGCTAAAAACGATCACGGTAAGCGCCTGCAAAACTGTAGGGATACTTCAAGCATCGCACCTTCTCCCCGATCTCGTCTTGTTCTCGGCTCTTGACTCGCGAATTGAGTCAAGTTCCGGACTGCGCAGAGCAGTGCGTGTACACAAAATTAGAAGGTGTAGGAAAAAAATCATGCGCATTTCGATCAAACGATGTAATATATTTTATTTATTTCATTATTCAAGATCGTATTTTACCTGATCGTAAAACCAGAGTCTCAATGAAGATATCTCATTTGTATACGCATAGCTACGCGTTTCACGTACGCGAACATTTCACCAAAGTTTTGGATGTTGTGCGGATTTTTTCCCCTGTCATAGGTAAAGTTAGACGAATGAATGGACGACCCTGAGTTTGCTGTCAGAATTGTCATACGCAGTGTAACTGAGTAAATGTTCGCTTTAGACGCGATGCAGAGTTTACTTATTTTCTACGAACTTTGGCTACACCGGAGTCAGTTGACATTCATCATCCGACACAAATGAATATTCAAAGAATCAGATGCTTCTCTTACCCAGGCATGCTCAGTGCGATTT